AGGGAAAGCATTTTTTTCCATCAAATATTGCTGGGACAACTTGATAACTATGAGTAAAAAGATGAAATTAGGCTCTTACTTCACATCATATTATAAAATTACTCAAAATGGGGGCCACAGGTAGCGTGGTGGTTAAAGGTGCTGGCGTTCACATGGCCGACCGTGGTTTGAGTCCTGAACCTGGCGGCTTGCTTTCTCACTTTCCTTCTCTCTCTCTCCCAATCTCTCTCTGGTCAATTTCAAAAAAAAATTACAATAATGACAATGAATAAAATTAAATAAAGTATTTCTTAATAAACAAACAAACAAACAAAACAGATATTTAAGCTCACCAAAGTATCTTGGGGGGATATTTTCTTGTAGGAACTTGATCAAAATGCCACTGAAAAAGTCCAGGCAATGTTCACAGCCATCGATGAACTCCTGTATGAGCAGAAGCTGAGTATGCATACGAAGAGTCTACAAGAAGAGTGCCAACAGTGGACATCCAGCTTTCCTCACCTCAGGTACTGAAGCCCTACAGATAACTTGTATTCATTACTAATACTAAATGTAAAAAAATTCTTTATTCATGATAGAGTGCCTGTATACCCATGTGGAGGAGAGAGAAAGACACCCTCCACATGGTCTGGTCACATCATGATCCTCTTCTTTCACTCCTCCAGCTCATTAGATCTTGAGGATTTGTCTGGTGTGTTTCTGGCTGACCAGGCTGGGGATTCCAGCTGGGCTGTGGAGTCAGCCATAGTACTAAAGTTTAAAAAGTAGATTTCCAAAAACCTTGTATTCTGAAATAGTTATGGCCATGATTTTAATGACTGTAAATAAAGCTGTATGGTATAAAGCCTCAGCTGAAAGAAAACTCAAGTTGGCAGAAGTTTCTTGTAGTTTCTATACATTATTTTTTTTTAACAGATTTTTGCTATAGGTTCATGTACTCACTGGAGAGACAGAGAGAGACAGTGAGAGAGAAAGCAAGAAATTACCCCCCATCCCCTAGGGGTGGCCACGCTGCAGTCTCTTCTCCATTCTCCTCCTGGGATTTTAGGCACACATGCACACATACCCAGCATGAGTTTCAAGCCTCCAGGTCTAAGACTAGAACCGTGGTCAACCAAGGTACTGTCTAAAGAGCCCCTTTTTGGAACAAAATGGCCAAAACTGTCTTTGTTTACACTGTTGTCTACAATTAAATTTTTGTATATACTTGAAAGCAGACAGACTGTTTAGAGCTTCCCTCTGAAACTTTGAGAGTACCAACTATTAAACATACTTAAAATTCCTTAAGCTTCACATTTTTTAAGACCATAATTAATTGGCTGGGCCTTCAACCTGTTTTGGCCTTTTTTCCCCAGAAGGCGTATATGCTCATCAGAGAGAGACAGAGAGGGAGATGGAGAAAGCACCCCTAAATGGGGCATGGCCACACTATAATCCCATCACCATTCCTCCTGCCACTCCCCCCAACCCCCACCCCCATCAGATTTTGGTGCCTAGCATGTTTTTCTGGCAACTGGAGCCAGGATTTGAACCAAATGGTTGACTCTGTGAAATCTGGCTCCCTTAACTACTAGGCCACGGTGCTGCCCACCCCCCCATTTTGACTGATTTTAATAAGGATTAGTATAAAGGATGAAGGCAAATTAAAAATGTTTGCTTAGTTTCCTTGAATTTTTTTTTGTTGTTGTTGTTAAACTCCTGGACAATAACTTTATCTTTTCCATCTCCTATATATTTTTTCTTTCTTTTTTTTTTTTTTTAATTTTTTTTAGTTGTGGCCACAGGGTGTGAACATTTCCCAGAAAAAGGGAGAGAGAGACAGTGAATGAGAGAGAAAGCAAGAAATCATCCCCAGGGGAGAAGGCCATGTCACAATCCCTTCTTCATTCTCCTTCGGGGATTTTGGGCATGCACACACATATGCCTGGCATGAGTTTCAAGCCACCAGGTCCAGGACTCAGACTATGGGAGTCTGGCACCTTAACCACTATACTACCTGCTGGCCCTTTCCATCTCTTGGAAGAGAAGTGTACCTATAATAAGCCTCTGGTTTCACATTTCCTCTCAAGAATCATTCTTAATTAATAGTAGGTTAGGTGTGTATTAGGCTTCTATGTAGAGTCATCAAATTTGTTCCAAAAATATCTAGTGTTTGTGTATATGTAAGGAAAAGGTCGTTAATTGCAGCTATGCTATGTTTCTTCATTTTGAAGGATTCTGGGTAGGCAGATCATCACTCCAAGTGAAGGTTATAGATTGTATCCTAGATCTCCTCCTGATGTTTCAGTTTCTCATGAAACAGTCTTGTCTCAAGAAAGAGATTCTACTATGTAAGTATTCTCTTATGTAAGTTTTTCAGTTTTCTCATATACAAATATTATATTCTACCAGTTGTACTAAGGGATTAAAATACTTTTTCTACTTACAGGTATTTAGTAAAACACTGCAGGTTCTATAAGATTGCTATAATCTTTGTGTATATTAATATTTTGTTATTAAAATTTTTTTGTTCAAGGGACCAGAAGATGGCATAATGGTTACGTCGCTGGACTCCCACATAGTTAACTGCGGTTCGAGTCCCAGACTGCATAGCTTAAACTCATGCTGGGCACATGTACATGTGTGCCCAGGATCCTGAGAGGAGAATGGAGAAGGGATTGCAGCATGGCCATCCCCCCTGGGGGGGAGGGGATGATTTCTTGCTTTCTGTCTTTCTGTCGAGTGCACAGGCTCTATAGCAAAATCCTCTCTTAAAAAAGATTTTTTTTTTTTTTGGAGAGGTTTTTGCTATGGGGTGCGTGAGCTCACCAGACAGACAGAGAGAGACAGAGAGACAGAAAACGAGAAATCACCCCCCAGGGGGGATGGCCATGCCACAATCCCTTCTCCATTCTCCTCTCAGGATCTTGGGCACACACACACACGTGCCCGGTGTGAGTTTAAGCCACCAGGCCCAGGATTCGAACCGCGGTCGACTACGTGGGAGTCCAGCGACATAGCCATTTCACTAACTGCTGGTCCCTTAAAAATTTTTGTTGTGTTGTTCAAAAATTAAGACATTTCTGGGACCAGCAGATGGCATAATCATTACATCACTGGACTCCCACATAGTCAAACATAGTTTGAGTCCCAGACCCAGTGGCTTGAAACTCACACCAGGCACATGTGCATGTATGCCCAAAATCCCAAGAGGACAATGGAGGGTAAGGGACTACAGTGTGGCCAACCCCACTAGGGGGTGATTTCTTGCTTTCTGTCTCTCTGGTAGGGACACACACCCTATAGCAAAAATTTCTCTCTCTCAAAAAAAAGAAAAAAGATATTTCCAAAGTTTAAAAATATTTTGGTTTTGAGATCTATATATCTTTATCTATATATGTCCACATCTACATCTGTCTATGACTACAGGTACTTCCCTCTTAGAATGTAGCTGTAGATAGAATAATTCTTATTTATTTATTTATTTTTAGTTTTTCTATAAGGTATGTGTGCTCACCAGAGAGAGAGACAGAGTAAAAGTGAGAGATCACCCCCCAACCCCTTGTGGGATGGCCACACCGCAGTTCCTTCTCCACTCTTCTCTTGGGATTTTGGGCATGCGTACACACGTACCCAATGTGAGTCTCAAGGTGTCAGGCCCAAGACTCAAACTGTGAAGCTGGACATGTGTGATCCAGTCCCTTTATCTCCACACCACCTGCTGGACTAATAGAGTTGCGGTTTTTTGTTTGTTTACTTTTTTTTCAAAATTTAGGGGTCTAAGAAACAGATTTCAAGTTTTTTGAAAGAAAAAAATGATTTTTAAAAAAGTTGAAGTATTGGGGCCAGTAGGTGCTGTGGTGATTAAGGTGCTGGATTCCCACATGACCAACTGTGGTTCCAAGTCCCAATCCTGGCAGCTTGAAAATCACACTAGGTAAATATGCATGTGTGCCCAAAATCCTAGGAGGAGAATGGAGAAGGGATTGCAAGGCCATTTCCCCTAGGGAGTGATTTCTCACTTTCTCCCCCACCTCCCAACCAGCAAGCACATGCACCCCCTATGGCAAAAAAACTTAAAAGAAAGAAAACAAGGGGGAACCAGCAGTTAGCGTAATGGCTATGTCGCTGGACTCCCACGTAGTCGACTACGGTTGGTGTCCCGGACCCGGTGGCTTAAAACTCATGCCGGGTGCGTGTGCGTGCGTGCCCAAGATCCCGAGAGGAGAATGGAGGAGAAGGGATTGCGGCGTGACCATCCCCCCTGGGGGGTGATTTCTCGCTTTCTGTCTCGATGTCTCTCTCTGTCTGTCTGGCGAGCGCACGCGCCCTACAGTGAAAATCTCTCCAAAAAAAAAAAAAAAAGAAAGAAAACAAAAAAAAGAAACATGAAATATGAATTACAACTCCATTTCTTTACAGAATTTAAAATTCAAAATAAAATTTGAGGTGGATATATTGCTGACCTAAATTAAACTGGAATGATCTTAAGAGAGACAGGGAGAATGGCTATTTTAGGACATCTAGCATTCTCTGCCATATATGTATATGGTTTGTTTTTGTTTGTTTTCAACTTTTCGAAGAGCATACATGCTTACCAGAGAGGGAGACAGAAAGAAGAAGCAAGAAAGCACCCTGCCTCTCATGGGGCACAGACAGGCTGTAATCTCTTTTTCATTTCTCCTTCCTTTTGTAATTTTGGGCACACTCGCACAGTGCCCAGTATGTTTTCAAATCACTGGGTCTGGGACTCACACTTCTTGGTAGGCCATATGGGATCTATCTGCCTTAACCACCAGGCCATAGGATGGCCCATGTATATGGATTTTATGAAATCACTGTATATATTTCATGACCTTTTTATTACTTAATATATTATTATAGACATCTTCCATTTTCTCCAACATTGACTTAAAGAGCTCATCCATTGAATGACTATACGATTATTTAATCAAACCATCCCCAATCCTCTGTATTGAAGCAGTTGGACTATTTTTGTTGTTGTTGTTACTGTTATTTTTAATTTGACCAGAGTGATACACAGAGAAAGGGAGAAAAAGAAAGCGAGAAAGCAAGCCGCCAGGTCTGGGACTTAAAGTGTGGTCAGCCATGTGGGAGTTAAGCGCCATTAACCACCATGCCACCTGCTGGCCCCAGTTGGACTGGTTTTGATTTTTGGCAATTATAAATGTTTCTGTGATGATAATTCTTTTTTTTCCCTGGATTTTTGCCTTAGGGTATGTGAGCTCATTAGAGAGACAGACAGAGAGAGGAAAAGTGAGAAATCACCTTCTAGGAGGAATAGCCACACTGCAATTCCTTCTTCATTCTCCTCTCAGGATCTTGGCTATGCATGCACACATGCCTGGTGTGTTTCTCAAGCCACTGGGTCTAGGACTTGAACTACGCAGTCAGCAATGTAGGATCTAGCCACCTTAACCACCCTGCCACCAGCTGGCCCAAGTAGTAGGAATTTTAAGTAATGGTGAAGGTATTAAAATAAACATATAACCTTCTGATATACCTTAAAGATATAATTATGAATACAAATAGTTTTAAAAAGCTTATTTTATACCTATAGCTGTTTACATCTGAAAAGATAGCAAGCAATTATTAAATACCACACCCAAACGGAATAGGTTTATGGCGACTATTTGATCTTGTTCTGAGAAGTAATAGATTATGAAGGCTCAGAATAAGGGAAGGTAGTGCCAAGGGATGGAGATTTGAACAGAACCTCATGTGACTGCGTTGCCATGAGAACTATTTATATTGAATATAACTGACTTTTTTTTCTCTCTCTCACAGATTTGGTATAAGGGGAAAGAAGTTACATTTTTCATCTTACGCTCATAAAGCATCTTCTGTTGCCAAATCCCCCAGCTTGCATTCGATGGAAAGAGAAGAGGAAGACTGTATACTCTTTTCAGAAGGAATAATTGAGGAATACCTAGCATTTGACCACACAGATATGTGAGTATTATGTCACTAAAGCTTTTTATTCCCCTCCTATTAATATCTATTCTGAACTACGCTACCAATATTACCTATAATTAGGTCTGTGCCAGTTTCTGTTATTTATTTTCTGTACATTCTCAAATATCCAGGGTTCACATCCTTAGTTATTGTTTCCATACACCAGCTTCCTGTGATTCTTCTTTCACACATTATTTGCCTCTTCCTGAGATGAGAGATTTTAGAAAGAGCTTATCTTTTTTTTTCATATGATGTAATTTTATGCTTTTGTGATATTACCAAAGGAAACACTGAAACTTCAATTGCTCTGTGAACTTCACGTATATAAATCCTGTTTAAAAAGGGTATATACAGTTCATATAAAAGTTGCTTGGCACAGACTTTATAAGTAATAACACTTATAATATCTATTCTTAATATACTGACCCGTAGTCCTATGACATGGATATTATTTACCTTTGCAGGGTGAGAATCAAAGCTAAATGATTTATCTAAGGTAAAGCTCAAACTAAAAACTTCATTCATCTGATGCTAAATTCAGTGCTCTCCTCACTATTCCACACTACTATCTGAAACATTAACATCTTTTTTATATAATTTAATTTAACTGTATTTATTAGTATTATTTTAATTTGACCAGAGAGGGAAATTGAGGAAGCAAGCCACTGAGTCCAGGACTTAAACCACAGTTGACCAGGGGGGAATCCAGTGCCCTTAACCACCATGCCAGCCCCTACATCCTTTTTTTTTTTTTTTTGAATTGTTTCATTTAATTTTGTTAATTTTTTATTATCATTTTTTTAATTTGACCAGAGAGAGACAGAAAAAGAGAGTGAAGATGAGCCACCAGGTTCAGGACATGAACCATGGTTAACTATGTGGGAGTCCAGCACCCCAGTCACCACACCACCTGCCAGCCCCCAAATTAACATCTTAAACTATTCCTCTAGGCCTTCAAAAGTTCACAGCAGCACATCTAGAGTGACTGAGAATTTCACTTCAGGCTGTGAAGCTGTGGTTGATCTAGTTAGTATTGGGTCATATGATTCTAGAGGTCTTTTCTTCTCACTATTTTCTACTGAGCCATGATTACTCGTGTTCACTCATGCACACAGCCCCAGTGCCAGCTAAACATAAGCCAGATTTCTATTCCTAATACAACCAAGTTAACTGTTTTAAGAGAATCATAATAGGTTCTTTTGGCTTTCTAGAGACTGCCTCCTTCCCCTGAACTTCTGGCCTGTGTCAAATTATTTCTCTTCTCTTCTCCTTTAAATCAAGGGTCTTCTTTATTTAAATTTATAAAAACAATAAAGCTGATTTAACTAGTTTAAAATGTGATGGAGCAAGTAGTCGGGTGGGGTGGGGCTAAAAATGAAAATGCAGTCTCCTGTGCTAAGAACTTCCTTGATTCACAAAGCAGCTTCATTCTTGTGCCATACGTGCTGGACAAGGAGGAGGACAGAGGCAGTGGGGGTGGGGGGCAAAAATCACACTCCTGAGCACAGACAACAATGGTAGATGCTCAGTGAAATCTTTCTCTATTGCTGTTGTTACAGAGAAGAAGGAATTCATGGAAAGAAATCAGAAGCAGCAACAGAGAAGCAGAAATTGGGGTACCCTCCCATTGCTCCATTTTATTGCATGAAAGAGGATGTCCTTGCTTATGTGTTTGACAACGTGTGGAGCAAAGTTGTGAGCTGCATGGAACAGTTAACTCGTAGTCACTGGGAGGGACTTACTTCTGGTAAGGAACTTTGTGAAAATGGTGTAAAAATAACTGTTTATGATTTACAAACCCTAGCCAGTCTATTAAATTATATGCTTTATTAGTAGAAAAGGTAGGTATAAGGGGGTAAAAAAAACAATGGATATGAGAGACTTAAAAAAAAGTATTTTTTCCTACTCTCAAACACTCTTGACACCAATTTATAGTGGCTTTTCTCTGCATAGCAAGCATTTCTGACTCAGATTTTCCAGAAGACATCAACTGGGTATCTTATAATTCAGTTCAGTTCTAACACTTCCTACCTGAAGTCAGCATCAGCTCTCACATGTTAAGAACTCAGTCCCATAAGACCTCTATGACTTCAAGCCAATTGCAGGCCCCAAGTTCTGACCTGTACTTTTTTTTTTTTTAAGAAGTATTTATTTAATTTATTATTATTACTTTTTAATTTGATCATGAGAGAGAGAGAGAGAAAGTGAGAAAGCAAGCCACCATGTCTGGGATTTGAACCATGGTGGGCCATGTGGAAGTGTCCAGCAGGGCCTTAACCACCACACTACCTGATGTCCCTATGACCCATGCTTCTGACTGACCAAATATGATTGACTTCCTGGGATGGCTCAGAGAATTCAGGGAATAATGCATCTACTGGTTTTTTATGAAAGATACTTCAAAGGATTCAGATGAACAGCCAGATGGAAGAGATATATTGGGCAAAGCTAAGAGGGGGAGTGGAACTTACAGTCCTCTCTTCAGGTTTGCACCCTCCAGGTTCCTCCACATGTTCAGTAATCCAGAAGCTCTCTGAACCCTGTCTTTTTTGGGGTTTTATGAAGACTTTATTTCACAGGCATAACTGATGAAATTCCTTCTCCACTTCCCCCCTCCTTTTGGGATTTTACGCATGCATACACAAGTGCCTAGCATGCTTTACAACTCCCCCATCCCCACCCAGTCTTGGACTCAAATCACCTGGTCAGCCATGTGGGAAGTATGGAAAGAAAACTTGTATTCTTGGCTTTGGTGTGGACAAGTTGGTTAACTGTTAGTACAAAGCTACAAACCTATCATTGCTATTATAACACCTTTTACTATCTCTTTGTGAGGGTTCTATTGCATGGTAGTTTGCAGCCTATGAAATAGGACTATGTCACAACTTGTGATAATTTTTTTTTTTTTAAATATTTTTTTAACTATAGAGCACATGCACTCACCAGAGAGACAGAAAGTAAAAAAATCACCTCCCCCAGGGGGCCAGCAGGTGATATAGTGGTTAAAGACGGCTGGATTCCCACATGGCTGACCATGGTTTGGGTGTTGGACCTGGTGGTTTGCTTTCTCACTTTCTTGCTGTCTGTCTGTCTGTCTCTCTCTCTGTCATTCTCTGGTCAAATTTTTAAAAAAAAATAGTAATAATAATAAATGAAGTCAAATTTTAAAAAGTGTTGATTCTTAAAAAAAAAAAAAAAAAATTACCGCGCACGTGCCCTATGGCGAAAACCTCTCCATTCTAAAAAAAAAAAAAAAAAAAATTACCCTCCCCCCCAGGGGTGGATGACCATGCTGCAATCCCTTCTCCATTTTTCCCTAGGGATTTTGGATATGCACACACATGCGCATGGCATGAATTTCAAACTGCTAGGTCTAGGACTCGAACTATGGTTGACAACATAGGAGTTCAGCACCTTAACTACTCCGCCATCCGCTGGCCCCATACAACTTGTGAAAGTTTAAGATTTGTCAACTATGGGGCTGGTAGGTGGCATGGTGGTTAAGGGCACCAAACTCCCACATGGTCAACCGTAGTTCAAGTCCCAGACCTGGCAACTTGCTTTCTCACTTTCTCTCTCTGTCTGTCCCTCTCTGGTCAAATTAAAATAAATGAATAAAAGTTAAAAAAAAAAAAGATTTGTCAACTCACCCAAAAATATAAACTCAGTAAATGTAATCATTTATTTGTATAACCTTATAATTTTTTTTTAAGCTTTAAAAAAAAATTTATTTATTCATTCATTTATTTTAATTTGACCAGAGAGAGACAGAGAGAGAGAAAGAGTGAGAAAGCAAGCTGCCAGGTCCAGGACTTGAACCATGGTCAGCCATGTGGGAGTGTCCAGCACCTTAACCACCATGCCTCCTGCTGATCCCAGCTTTTTATAATCATTTTAATTTTTAGTCAAGACAGTTAAAATATAAGTTAGAGAAAAAATATTTATTTTAAATTGTCTTTTTTTTTTTTTTTTTTTGGGAGGTTTTTGTTTTTGGGCATGTTGCCTTTCAGACAGAGGGACAGAAAGCGAGAAATCACGCCCCACGGGGGATGGCCACGCCACAATCTCATCTCCTCCATTTTCCTCTTGGGATCTTGGGCATGCACGCACACGCGCCCGGCATGAGTTTAAGCCACCGGGTCCAGGACTGGAATTGCAGTTGACTACATGTGAGTCCAGCAATATAGCTATTACGCCAACTGCTGGTCCCAATTGCCTTTTTTTAAAGAGGTGGGGTTTTTTTGGTTTGTTTTTGCCTTAGGGCACATGTGCTTGCCAGAGAGAGGGAGAGACAGAGACAGTGAGAGGGAAATGAGAAATTATCCCCCAGGGAGGATGGCCATGCCACAATCCCTTCTCCTCCCAGGATCATGGGCACACACACACACACACACACACACAAGCACCCAGTGTGAGTTTCAAGCCACCAGGTTTTGAACTGTGTTGGACCATGTGGGAGTCCAGAGACATAACCATTATGCCATCTGCTGGCCCCATAATTGTTACTATTTTTAATCCTGATTTGCTAATGGGGAAACAGGCTTCACCGGTCATTCATGTAAAGAAAAAAACAAGCATTCTTTCAGTGAAACAATATTAGTAAATTAAATGATGAAATAGAAATAATGAAGACCAAGAATTCATGTTACTTTTATTCAGATATATGATTTTTCATATTGAGTTCAGTTTTGTACTCATAATTGATGAGAAGTGTTCAAGCTCAGTGTTTACCAATTATGAGCAATAATGCTGTGAACATTCTTGAATATTTCTCCTAGTTCACATGTACAGGAGCTTCTCTAGGGTATATACTAGAGTGGACTTGCTGGATCATAGGGAATATGCATTTTCAACTTCACTATACAATACCAAGTTGTCCAGTGATTGTACTATTAGGTGCCCATTAATAGTACATGAGTTCCTGTGCTCACGGTTTCATCAATATTTTCTATTCTTCAATATTTTATTTTTTGTCAATATGTAGAAGGGTGTTTTCTTGTGGTTTTATTTTCTCCATTTAGAAAATCAAGGTATAATTTACACATGGTAAATTCATCCTGTTTAATCAGTTCGTATTTCTCGACTTCTGGTTTCTCTGAATCCAGGACAATGTTCTTCACCTTTTTAATTTCACTATTTCTGCTATTAACATTCTGCTGATTTTGTGTGTGTGTGTGTGTGTGTGTGTGTGTGAATTTTATTTCTTTTTTTTAGCGAGCGAGATGGGGATAGAAGAGGAGAGAGAGTTAGTTCTGTTATTCTGTCTGGGTCTTGCCTCTGTTGTGATCTTTTGCCCTAGCCTGCAAGTTAGCTAGGATGACAGGCACGTATCACTGTGCTGGACTGTTTAGGATTGGGCTAGGGACCAACCTAGGCCTGTGTGGCCTCAGCCATCCCGTAGTGGTCATCTTCCCCCGTGCTTCTGTGGCTTGGCCCTGCTGAGTTTGTAACTGCATTTCTTTTGCAGTTTTATTTTGTTCTTTTTCAAATTTGCTTGGTCATTTTTGTGATCCCTTGTTTGACTCATATTTTGAATTGCTTTTTTACACTTTGCATCTTTTTATTCCAATCTCTAAAGTCTTTGCTGATATGATTATATTATTTCTTGCTTTTTTTAAAGGTGCCTTGTTTCCTTGGGGATTATGTGATTTTTTTTTAAACAGTAGTTTCTAATAATGTAATTTGTGGGAATTAAGGTCTGAATTAATTATATGGAGGGTCCCATAGAGCAACACTGTCCAATAGAGTACTCACTATCCATATATGGCTATTTAAATTTAATGAAAATTAAACAAACTTTAAAATTCAGTTCCTTGATTGCTAGCCACATTTTAAGTGCTCCGTAGCTACATATAGCTAGAGGCTACCATATTAGATGGCTAAAATGTAAAATATTCCCATTAGGGGCCAGCAAGTGGCATGGTGGGTAGGGCACTGGACCCCCATGTGACCAACTGTGGCTTCCTGGACTCTGTAGCTTGAAAATCAAGCCAGGCACATGTGCTTGCATGCCCAAAATCCCGAAAGGAGGTTAAAGGAGAAAAGACTGGCATGGCTGTCCCCCCAGGAGGTGATTTCTCACTTTTCCTCTCTCTGTTTCTGCCTCTCCATTGAGCTCCTGCACCCTGTGGCAAAAACTCAAAAAAAAAAAAAAAATTCCATTAACTCAGTTTTGCCCTAGAGGTCTTTGATGTTCCTTCTGCCAGGTACTAACAGGCATTGCTAGCCTGGGAAACCACTTTCATTTACTCCTGGTTAGAAGGTTTGTGTTTTTTTAATTTTTTTTTTAAGAATTATTTTATTTAACTTTATTTATCTTATCCATTTATGTTTTAATTTGACCAGAGAGAGTATGTGTGTGAGAAAGACAGAAAGAGGGAAAGTGAGAAGGCAAGCCGCCAGGTCCAGGACTTGAACCATGGTCACCCATGTGGGATTCCAGCACTCTTAACCACCATGCCACCTGCTGACTCGACTTGAAGGTTTTTTTGAACCATATAGGTGGTGTGAAATTGGGCTGCAAAAATGAGTGAAGCCTTTGAAATTATGAATTCTCCAAAAGCTTTTTTTCACAGTAATGTTTCTGTGGGTCAAAGGATATCTATGAATAATAAATTGTTTCTTTGCTCAGATGATGAGAGTAATGTTGCAGTCCCCAGACTGCATTCAGAAAGTCCCTGTATGCTGAATGAACCACAACCTTTGGTGTTACCACGAGTGCCACAGTCAAAGGTGCTGTCCATCACCTCCAATCCGGTAAGCCCCAAAGTGGATTTATTGAAGAATCTAGGGCTGTTCTTGCTAGAAGAAATGTGCTCAGACATGTCTGCCTTCATTGTATTATATCTGACTTAATATTTTTCAGTAATGTGTTTATCATAATAACACAGTAACTCTTTGATCAGTTTTTTTTTAAATAATAGCATGTTAGGATTGATAAATAATTCCTTTTTTTTGGGGGGGAAGAGACTTCCATAAGTTGTACAATTTAGAATCAATTATGTGGTTAACCTAAGTCTCTTTTGGGAAGAATGGATAATGCCCTTATGATGAAAAAAGGGACTAACCTCAGACTTTCTATGGCCTTTAAACTCCTTTTTACTTCTGCCCTCTTTTTTCTCTTTAACTCAGCCCACTATGATTTAGTTTAATATTTGAATCCATTGTCTTTTCCCCTATTAAATGTTTAGAACTCATAACCCAGGTGTAAAAAGCAAACCAAAGCAAAGGAAAACACTTATCTCATGCATGTCTCTTAACAAGCACAATGGTCACTTCTTGCAGGAGGCTGATGAGTTTGGTCTCATCCCTATGTAATGAATCTCAGTTCCTACGTGACATTTTCCTGGTGTTACTTGTGGCAAAAAGTGAGAGGTGGGAGGGAAGAGAGAGCAAAAGGATTCTTATCCTTGGACCATGCTCATCAACCTTGAATTTTACTAGCATAAGTAATTTTACTAGTCATAAGCTTTGGTGGTATATTGGCCAGATATTAAACAGCTTGATTTACAAAAGGAGTATGTAAAAATACAATCAGCAAGACTCGTAACTCATCACATAGGGGTATAAAACAGGTAAAGTAATGCTCCTTTGATGTGATAAAGCACTTCATGTTAAACCAATCTGGCTGTGGTTTAGGTGGTATAAGCCCTTAACAATTAATTAGATGGTTCTGGTTGTCAATGATCAAAGAAAGGAGAAAGAATAGTTCAAACATTCATGAGAAAAAGAGAAAAATACATTCTGTGGCAAAGGAGGAGATGACTGGAAAGGGCACTGATGGCCTGAGAGAGAAAACAAACAGGGCTTTAGGGTGGCGGTGCCAGTCCAAGCAAGATTAGATGAACTCTCATTCACCAGTCTTCAGAATTTAGGTTATCAGTAAGAGCAGACTGCTCCAGAAGTAGGGAAAAAAGATTGGTTTGTGCAGAGTATAGGATTATGTGATGTTAAGAGATTATATCTGTTTACCCTTATTTTTTTCTATTCTTGTTTCATATTTTGTGAGTTTCCTTTTTAGGTTTTCTTTTCTACTGTAATGTAAAAATAATAGTAAATGTCCTCTTTCCCCTATGAGGCTGTTAGTTGCTTTCATCTAGGTTGGTCAGACATTCCCCACCTACTGTCATTTAGAAATGGAAAGAAAGGACTCTCATTTTTGGATTTGCAACTTCAGCTAGGGCCAAGGTGTTGTAAAGGTTAAGGTGCAGGGAGAATATATATTAATGACCTAATTGGAAATATGAATTTTCGGCAAAACAGGGAAACTAAACAGGTGTCTTCACCAACCAATGAGTAACATCTTCTTTTGACATGTAGATGAGTCTCTGTCAAGCAAGTGGCCATCAGCCAAATGTGAATGGTCTCTTAGTTCATGGAATGCCTCTACAGCCAAGAAATCTCTCCCTAATGGACAAGCTCCTGTAAGAAGTATAATTTTTTTTAATTATTTTATATAACGTTGTTATTTATTTTTTTTTAATTTGACCAGAGAGAGACACAGAGAAGAGAGGGAAAGTGAGAAAGCAAGCTGCCAGGTCCAAGACTCAAACTGCAGTTGGCAATGTAGGAGTCCAGGGCCTCTAACCACTATGCCACCTGCTGACTCAGAAGTATAAACTTTTAACAGACTTTAAGTAGATCACAGGAATAAAGGAAAAACAAGGGCAGTCATTAGTGTGCATATACTGAGTAACTAAAAGCAATCACAGAATCACCTAGGGAATAAAACATTTCAAATGAGTTGGTCTCTACCCTCAGGGAGCTGATAACATATTTAGAAAGACAAAGCAAAAGATATACAATGATTAAATGTAAATAAGAAACAATGGAATAAAATTAATAAATAAAAGTAGGGCCAGATGGTGGCACAGTAGATAAGACAGCTGTGTCCCACATGGCCACCTGGACAGTTCAAGTCTGGACCTAGCACTTTAAAAACACTGATGTGCCCAAAATCCTGAGAGGAGAATGGAGAAGGGATTAAGGCAGAGATTTTACTTTCCCAACTGCAGTTCAAGTCCTGGACCTGGTGGCATGAAACTCAACACCGGGTGCATGTATGCCCAAAATCCTGAGAAGAAAATGGAGGAGAAGGGATTGTGGTGAGGCCATGCCCCCAGTGGGTGATTTCTCACTTTCCCTTTCTCTGTGCCATGCCCCCCAGTGGGTGATTTCTCACTTTCCCTTTCTCTGTATCTCTCTCTCTCTCTCTCTCTCTCTCTCTCTCTCTCTCTCTCTTGTGAACAAAACCCTAAAAAAGAAACACAAACACATATATATATATATTGGGTTGTTGGAGAAGTCACGATATATTTTTCTATTTTTCTATGCCAAAATGTGCGTGATTTTTCCAACAACTCTATTATATATATATGAATAAATTTTTAAAAAGACAAACATGGGTAAAAAGAAAAGCAACCACATACACATTTTTTCTTTCTTTTTTATTTTATTTACTTTTTTTTTTTTTTTTTGAGAGTTTTTTGCTATAGGGTGCGTGTGCTCACCAGAAAGAAAGAGAGAGACAGAGAGGCAGAAAGTGAGAAATCACCCCCCAGGGGGATGACCATGCCGAAATCCCTTCTCCCCCACTCTCCTTTTAGGATCTTAGGCACGTATGCATGCACACGTGCCCAGCATGAGTTTAAGCCATCCGGTCAAGGACTTGAACTATGGTCGACTACATGTGAGTTCAGTGACATAGCCATTACACTAACTGCTGGTCCCCCACATACACATTTTTTATGACTGAATGCCAAGAGTACATGCTATGGAAACCCCCAAAAAAGGGATTAATTTGCATAAGCAGAGAACAGCAAGGCCATTCTAGGTAGTAAAATGGTATGGGAAAATTTTAGAGACTGGAAAATACGAAATATTTAGGAAAGAGAAAAGATGATCTTGCTATAATAGGAGATAGGTCAGAACTTCAATGCTTCTTATCAAAGATCATTGACAATCTTCCCAAATTAAAATAGGCCATGATACAATTAGTGGTAAAAAAAAGACTATGAAACTAATGAATGTTGGGACCAGACTTTGGAGAGTTTTGAAGGCCATATTTTTTATGTTCATCTGTGTTGTTACATATGTATGACCTTCTCTAATGCTATAAGTAATATTCCATTGTAGGAAGACACCACAATCTGTTATTCTACTCTGTTAATAAATACTTGGACTGTTTGCAGGGTGGTGCTATTTTGCATAAGGCATTAAATTCTTACATCAGTCTTTCTTATAGAACCAAGGTCTCATTTCTCTTGGGTCAATACCTAGAAGTGAAAGGGTCATAAGATAGGTTTAAGTTTTATAGAGAAATACATAAAATTTCTTAAAGTAATCATACCATTTTACATTCCTATCAGCAATGTATGAGTTTAAGTTGGGGAGCACATATATTTGAATCAGGAATTTGAAAGAGATTTCACAGCAGCAGAATATAACTGGACTGAAGCAGGAAGAACTGAAGGAAAGGGGTCTAGTACAGGAGTTCATGCAGGAGCTGCTAAGGGTCAGCACTCAAGGTACAACAAAAGAAAAGAAAGGAAGGAAATAAGTCAGAAGATACTGTAAAAGAAATGACAGTCTGTAGAAATACAAGGGACTTCAAAAAGTTTATAGAAAATGGAATTAGGGGCCAGCAGGTGCCGTAGCAATTAAGGCACTGGATTCCCATGTAACTGACTGCGATTTGAGTCCAGGACCCAGAGGCTTGAAATTCATGCCAGGCCCATGTGCGTGCATGCCCAGAATCCTGAGAGAATGGAGTAGAAGGGATTGCAGCATGGCTACCCCCCCAGGGGATGATTTCTTGTTTTCTGTTTCTCTGTCTCTCTCCCCCCCAGCGAGCACACATGCCCCTATAAGCAAAAAAAAAGAAAAAAGAAAAAAAAATTGAATTAAAGCATGAGTTTATATTGGTGCCAAAATAATAGATATCCATGCATAATTTTTTTGTAATAGGCATTTTCCATGAACTTTTTATAGATCTCGCTTTGAGTAATCAAAGTCAACTCTGGGATTTCAAGTTCAAGGAAACTGATTTGAGGGAGGAGAGTTCTCTTTAGTATAGATTAAGTTTACAATGATGAGCTACCTCCCTGAAATGTGGAAGAGGTCAGATTTGGGGCTTAGAGATGATAATTGAACCCATTAGAAATTCACTGAACAAAATAAAGGTAAACATACGGCAGCTAAAGCCTAAACCTTTTGTAATTAGAAAGCAGTTAGGGCATAAAAAGGGAAGGAGTGCAGGTGAGAGAGGCAGGAAGACCAGAAAGATCTCTTATAATTGAGGCTGGCAGGTGGCATGGTGGTTAAGGGCACTGGATTCCCACATGGCCAACCATGGTTCAAGTCCCGGACCTGGTGGCTTGCTTTCTCATTTTCTCTCTCTCACTCTCATTCTGTCCCTTCACTGAACAAAATAAAGGTAAACATAAGGCAGCTAAAGCCTAAACCTTTTGTAATTAGAAAGCAGTTAGGGCATAAAAAGGGAAGGAGTGCAGGTGAGAGAGGCAAGAAGACCAGAAAGATCTCTTATAATTGAGGCTGGCAGGTGGCATGGTGGTTAAGGGCACTGGATTCCCACATGGCCAACCATGGTTCAAGTCCCGGACCTGGTGGCTTGCTTTCTCATTTTCTCTCTCTCACTCTCATTCTGTCCCTCTCTTGTCAAATTAAAATAAAGTTAAATAAACAATAATCATTTTTTTTAAATCTCTTGTAATTCTCAAAAGTTTAGCCTTAATTCCTTGACAGGCATTTTCCTTTGGATGCAAACACTGAGAAAGATTTTGCACTAGAGGACAACAAAGTAGCCTGAAAGGTTGAGGAACTTGCCAAAAGCCATAGAAGCAAGTGACAAAGCTTAACTGTTTTATATTTTCCCTTCCCTTCCATTTATTTGTACACATACTGTCTCTTAAGATACCTTACAATAAATAGGCAAATGTCTTCTCATCTGTTTTAAAAAACAAAACCGCCCTGAGACTTCTAGAGTCATGTTGATGCCACTGCCCTGCTTAGGCATGGTATTTTCTCTCAGAGAACTTACAGGAAAGCTAGCTTATAGGAAACAACTCAGTTGTTTCTGCAGATAGGCATCTGTGGTCCCAGTGAGCTGAGCAGCATAAGGCCAAAACCAGTACTGGCCTGTTCCCACTCCCTGCTTTACAAGGATCCTGAACCTAAAACTCTACCCCTTTAGGCACCAACTAGTTTAGTATTCCAATTCCCATGGTCGGAGCCACACTGGTACAACTTCTCCCAAGCAGCAATATTTGTTTCCATTGTCTTTCTGGTCACATTCTTTCTGCACAAAAGAATACCTCAGGTACAGTAAGACTCTTAGTCCCTGTGGCAAAGTTTTGGAAAGCACTTTGGAGAAGGTACCCTTGAGGCTTGCCTTCCCTGGAGACTGAATGGATGACTGTTATGACAAGTGAATAACAAAATTGCTTTCCTAAATCTCCATCCTAGCAAATTATGTTAATGATTTAATTTTTTTTTTTGGAGGAATTTTTGCTATAGGGCACGTGTGCTTGCTAGAGAGACAGAAACACAAAAAGCAAGAAATCACTTCCAGGGGAGACGATGGACACACCACAATCCCTTCTCCTCTCAGAATTTTGCACACACACACATGCCCGGTGTGAGTTTTAAGTCACTGGGCTTGGGACACCTGCTGTTCCCTGCAATAATGTTTTTTTTTTTTTTTTTTTGAGAGGTTTTCACTATAGGGCGTGTGCGCTCGCCAGAAAGACAGAGAGATAGAAAGTGAGAAATCACCCCCCAGGGGGGATGACCACACCGCAATCCCTTCTCCTCCATTCTCCTCTCGGGATCCTGGGCATGCACGCACACACGCCCAGCGTGAGTTTTAACCTGCCGGTCCAGGACTTGAACCACAGTTGACTACATGGGAGTCCAGAGACATAGCCATTACGCTAAATGCTGGTCCCTGAAATAATGTCTTTAAGAATAATTTCTGGGACCAACAGGTGGCGTGGTGGCTAAGGTGCTGGACACTCCCACGTGGCCAACTGTGGTTCAAGTCCTGGACTTGGTGGCTTGCTTTCTCATTTTCCTTCTCTCTCTCCTCCTCTGGTCAAATTAAGTGAATGAATAAATAAAATTAAATTATAAAGAAAAAAAAAATAATTTCTCATGCCTGAGCTAGATTACTTTCTGGAAACTGAGTTACTTACTAAAAGGCTTTTTTCTCTCTTTAATGTAGTTTATAATCTAAGGATTTTTATATTGTGAGTTTTGTCTTCCTGTACATACTGATCTATATTTCATTGTGAATTTTAATTTGGCCTCTAGAGATCTTGATGACAAACTACTTTTGAGGCCTGGGTCCAGCACCATCCTTTCAACACGAAATTGGCCAAATCGAGCCCTGGAGTTTAGTACTTCATCCCTGTCATATGCAATGCAATCCTCCAGGAGACGCAATCCCCCACCACGTACCCTTCACCCGATCAGCACAAGCCATTCGCGCACTGGAACGCCAAGACCTGTGGAAGAATTCCTCAGAGGATCCAGAGTGTAGGTTTCAAAATTGGAATTGCCAACTAACAACTTCATGAAGATGAATTTAAATATAAGAAATCTGTACCTAGAAATTAATCACTAAGTATTCTTATGATGAATTGCCCATTGGTTTAAAGCCAACAGAAAACTTTTAAATGGGGTTAAGTTTTTTAAGAATTATTTAGTTCTTATTATTTTAAAAATTTTATAAAGGGCACATGTGCTCACCAGAGACAGAGAGGGAAAGTTAGAAAGCAAGCTGCCAGGTCCAGGTCGTTTTTTAAATTTTTTAAAGAATTATTTTATTTAACTTTATTTACTTTTAATTTGATCAGAGATGAATAGAATGAGAGTGAGACAGAGAGAGAGAGAGAGAGAGAGAGAGAGAGAGAGAAAGTGGAAAGTGAGAAAGGCAAGCTGTCAGGTCTGGGACTTGAACCACTGTCAACCATATGGGAGTCCAGCATCCTTAACCACCACACCACCTGCTGGCCCCCTGGGATTAAGTTTTAACAAAATACAGATACTGAGTCTTTCCATCAATTTAACTAAAGTTTACATTTTTTTTAAAAAGACAACCAGAAGGTCCAGAACTGTGAATCCCATCAGATGTGGATTTACAAATCCATGACTAACAGAGAAGTACAATCCTAGATAGGGAAACTTTACCATTCCAGTTTAGTGTGAGAGAAAAGGTCAACTACTGCTGTGCACTGAGAATAAAGCTTAAAAGAAAATATTTAAAATAAAACATGAATTTTCCAAAATTCTTTAGATCTCTAAAGAAAACAGCAGCCTTAGTGCTTTCTGTGCACACTAAACACATCATTTATTTGATTTCTAATCAGTTTGCTTGTATTGTTGTAACTTCATGCTTTCATATGTTCTCTGATGGGATCTGCAGCCCTGGAGCAGCTGACTCGCTCTCCTCTCCCTCACCAATGCCCCTGAGTCGAAATAATCTGCTGCCACCTATTGGCACAGCTGAAGTGGAACATCTGAGTACTGTGGGATCACAGAGGCAAATGGTAGGTCTCTTTCATACTGCGTTTCCTTCTGCTTACTATAAAACTTCATGGGCAATAATTCTGCAGGACTTGTGTTTTGGTCATGATTTAAACTGTATTTCGGCAAAAGTGCAAACTGAGTTCCAATTGTGACAGTGGAATTAGAGGTGCATGGCCTGCAGTTCATGTAGAATGTGTGCCACTCCCACTACAAAGAATTTTAACTATCCCTCTAATTTTTGTCTCTTCTGTAGAAACCCCACAGTGATTCCAATCGAGCTAGAAGCGCAGTGGTGGATGAGCCTAACCATCAGCAGCCCCAAGAGAGACTTCTTTTACCTGACTTTTTCTCCAGGCCCAACACAACTCAGTCATTTTTGGTACAGTGACCTATTTCCTATAAGGTCTTGATAATTAGGAAAAGAGATGGGATGGGGCAAAAGATAGTTTGGCAGATTTAAGACTTTATCTGGTGGCTTAATCACTTTAAGAATAAAAATTTGGGCCCTAATGATAAAAATAGTCTTGTAGGTACATTTTGTTGAAATTCTAACCAGTCCCTACCACTCATTCATGTGTCAGTAAAATACCTTATACATAAAATACAAATTCTTTTTTTTTTTGGAGAGGTTTTCGCTATAGGGCACGTGCGCTCGCCAGACAGACAGAGATAGACATAGAGACAGAAAGCGAGAAGTCAACCCCCAGGGGCGATAGTCACGCCGCAATCCCTTCTCCTCCATTCTCCTCTCGGGATCTTGGGCATGCACACACACGCACCTGGCGTGAGTTTTAAGCCACCGGGTCCGGGACACGAACCACAGTTGACTACACGGGAGTCCAGCGACATAGCCATTATGCTAACTGCTGGTTCCCAATAAAATATAAATTCTAAGAAACCTGAAGTTTAGGTAATTCTGGGGCTAGCAGGTGGTGTAGTGGTGAAAGGTGTTGGACTCCCACATAGCTGGCCGAGGTTTGAATCCTGGACCTAGCAGCTTGCTTTCTCACTTTCCCTATCTCTCACTCTGTCCTTCTTTGGTCAAATTAAAATAAGTAAATGAAGTTAAATAATTCTTTAAAAAAAAAGTTTAGGTAATTCTGAAAAAATCAGCACAACTTCATTATCTGACCCTGCTCTTATGGAATTACATCAAAAGTACTATCAGTGGGACTGGCAAGTGGTATGGTGGTTAAAGGCACTGAATTCCCACATGGCCAACCATGGTTCAAGTTCTGGACCTGGCAGCTTGGTTTCCACTTTCCCTTTCACTCTGTCTCTGTGTGATCATATTAAAAAATAACAATAAATGGAATTAAATATTTTTTTAAAAAAAGATGGTATGGTATCAGATTATGAAGAAAGAACAGCAGTAAGTGAGTTAGGACTTACTTTTCCCAATGACATTTTAAATGCTGACACTGCCTTTCTATTTACTGTACATTTATTAATGCTTACCTTTCAGTAATAGGAAAAACCTGGTTGGGAGACTAGGGGTCATGCACTGACCTTGTCCAGTTGTAGGCAAGAAGCTCAACCCCAACTCACCTGCTTTGTGGCAAGAAGGCTTAGAGAAGTGGGGAAGTGATTGAGGCCACACTTAGTGCCCACCAACCAGGGGCCCTGATCCAGAACCAGTTCTCAGGATGGTGCTGAACGTAGCCCACTTATCCCAACTCATTACGCTTGAACCGGACCAGCCTAAAGCACTGTACAATCTTTCTACTGGAATAGTGAGGATGGTAAAGAATAGGCCTATTAGCTTCTTAGAACTGCCGTAGCAAATGACTACAGATAGGTGACGCCAAACAAATTTATTTGCATGGTTCTAAAGACCAGAAGTCCAAAATCAAGGTGTCAGCTGAGCCATGCTCCCTTTGCAGGCTCTAAGAAGAGTCCTTCTTTGCCTCCTCCTAGTTGCTGGTGGTTACCTGCAATTAGAATTCCTTGGCCTGTAGCTACATCACTCCAATTTCTACCTCCATCTTGGCCTTCTTCCCTGTGTCTCTCTGTGTCCAAGTTTCCCTCTTTTTGTAAAGAAAGTCACTGAATTTAGGGCCCACCCTAATCTAGTATGACACCACCATAACTTGATTATATGTAAAGGCCCTATATCCAAATATGGTCACACTTGTAGGTTCCAGGTGGGCATGTATTTTGTGGGAGGATGACAGTGTTCAGCCCAGTATACCTTGAAAAGCTTTAGGAGAAAATCCACCAAAAATAGAGGGAAAAGAAAATGTATTACATGTGAACCCCCAAAAGTTTACAAACCTTGAATAGAATTTTTCTTATAATCTAGCTTAGGACATTTGTTAAACAGTGCTTGATCTGATTACAATCTATTGCTAGAGTCTCTAAACATTTAATTTTTGACCATCATAGGAATAAAACTGAATATGAAAACATTTCAAAGTTTCTCTTTTCCACAAATATATAAAGATAACAAAGTAAGGGACCAGCAGGTGGTGTGGCGGTTTAAGGGCGCTGGATTCTCACATGGCAGACCACGGTTCAAGTCCTGGACCTGGCGGCTTGCTTTCTCACTTTCCCTCTCTCTCTCTCTGTCCTCCCCTGATCAAATTAAAAACTATATGAATAAAGCTAAATAAAATAATTTTTAAAAATAACAAATAACAGTCATTTCTCTCCCCATCTGCTATCATAAAAAGGATGATGACTTAGTAAGTCAAAGTAATTAAGGGTGCTGGCTCTGTGGGACCAGCAGATGGCGTAATGGTTATGTTGCTGGACTCCCACATGGCCGACTGCAGTTCACATTCCATACCCAGAGGACTGAAACAGGCTGGGCAACTGTGTGTGCATGCCCAGAATCACAAGAGGAGAAAGGAGAAGGGACTGCAGCATGGCCATCCCCCTGTGGGGTGATTTCTCGCTTTCTGTTTCTGGTGAGCACACACACCCACAAGCAAAAATCTCTCCAAAAAAAGTGCTGACTCTGACTAACATTTTCTTTATAATGGGAGGGAGGGACGACGCAGCACCTATAAACTACAGATCTTGGGCTATTTGGCCTACCATCTATTTTTGAAGCACAAACACCAAACTCATTTGTTTATGCACTGCTGCCCACAGGTGCTTCTGCACAACAGCAAAGCTGAGTAGTCGCAATGACCCACAAAACCTAAGACATTAACTGGCCTTTTACAAGAAATAATTGCTGACACCTCATCTCTAGAATGTGGAAGCTTCACCAGAAAAAAAATCCCTTAAATGTCTTAAGTCTTATGCTGACAGGGAACTGAGGGATGTTCTTTATTCCAAAAGCCCTAGAGTGAGTGAGAAAGCAACCCAATGGAGGATGATCACACCACAATCCCTTCTCCATTTTTCCCTCCTATTGACATTTTTGACTGTGTGCACACACATACACACCTGACATGTTTTTCAAGTCGCTGTGTCTGGGACTAACCACACAGCCAGCCATATGGGATCCAGTGCCTTAACCATACCACCAGAGGGCAGGAGCATTTTAATACTTTAGCCATATCTTTATAATATTAAATTCCTTAAAGGAATTTTGAAATGTTTTGAGTTTCTTAAAGCTAAAAAGTGAATCTGGGGACCAGCAGTTAGCTTAATGGCTATGTCGCTGGACTCCCACATAGTCGACCGTGGTTCGAGTCCCGGACCCGGTGGCTTAAAACTCATGCCGGGCGCGTGTGCGTGCATGCCCAAGATCCCAAGAGGAGAATGGAGAAGGGATTGCGGCGTGGCCATCCCCCCTGGGGGGTGATTTCTCGCTTTCTGTCTCCCTGTCTCTCTCTGGCGAGCGCACACGCCCTATAGCAAAAACCTCTCAAAAAAAAAAAAAAAGTGAATCTGTAATGTTCACAAGTTAACAAATGGCTTTCTGGTATCTGCCCTGGGATTTTCTACTTGCTATTCAACACAGTGCACTAGCCCATTCCCTTAGGATGGCAGATGCAGATGCCTTTTCTATCATTGGTGATTTCAAGGCCTTCCCTTCTAAACTTACTTAAAGTATTCTTTGAAAGAAGTTGAATTCTATTAAGTATCTCATCTTTTCTTTTAGCCAGATACACAGTATCGACGTTCATGCCCAGTTGAATATCCTCATCAGACCCGACCTGGTAGGGGATCTGCAGGTACATATGGGGCCACGGCTTATTTTACTACCATGTGTATTTTAGACCCTGTCCTCATCTTTTTTTTTTCCTTTTCACCCTTATTTTTTCTTCCTCCAGATGTCCTTGTATTTATCTTGCTTTCCTACATTTTTGTAAACTACCTCAAATTCATTTTGGAAGATGGAGTATAACAAAAAGATAAGTTTTATTAGGAGCAGCAGATGGCATAATGGACCCTCACGCAGTTGACTGCAGTTTGAGTCCTGGACCTGGCGGCTTTAACTCACGCCCAGTGTGTGTGTGCACACGTGCCCAAGATCCCAAGAGAATGGAGAAGGAATTGCAGCTTGGCCACCCACTCATGGGGTGATCTCTTACTTCCTCTCTCTTTCCTGCAAGCACACACACCCTATAGCTAAAATCTCTCTTTAAAAAAAAAAAGAGAGAGAATTTGGGACCAGCAGATGGCATAATGGTCAGCCGCAGTTCAAGTCCCAGACCTAGCGGCTTCAAATTCACACCGAGTGTGTGTGTGCATGCCCAAGGTCCTGAGAGGAGAACGGAGAAGGGACTAAGGCATGGCCATCCCCTCTGTGGGATGATTCCTCACTTTCTGTCTTTGTCTCTCTGGCAAGTGCACATATTCTATAACAGAAATATCTCTGAACAAAAAAAAAAAAGAAAAGAAAAAGAGAATTTTGTTGCTCAGAGCCAGAAAGTTCCAGATTTCTACTGGGTCTTAAAATTTTTTTCATACTACAGAAATTAACCTCTTACAACTCTGGTAAACTCCATTATGATTTTTAAATTATCATTTGAAAATTAAAGACAAAGAAGTCATCCTCAAAATATTTTAAAAATTTGGTTAGAAGGCATGTGTGCTTATGGGGCACCGGTGGGAGACTGGACACAGAAAGTGAGAAAGCACCCCCCCGCCCCCGGGGAATGGCCATGCCCCCTCACTTCTCCATTTCTTCCACTATTCTGAGAGTTTGGGCAGACAGGCACCATCGTATTTTTCAAACTGGGTCAGGGACTTGAACCATGCAATTAGCTATGTAGGATCCAGCTGCCTTAATCACCATGCCATGGGCTGGCTCTAAAATATTAAGAACATGGATTTTATTATGTAGGCAAAATCACTATTCCTGTGGATGAAGCTGCTTTGGTCAGTTAACCTGTTAGGTCAAGATAAGAAATTCTGAAACATCTGAAACATGGATATACATTCTCTGTAAATTATACTCTATTAACAAAGGCATGATGGGAGAAAGTTTAGGCAAGTCTTAATTCTTCTTATGTCATCTTTTTTTGAAGATTTATATGATTTTATTTATTGTTATTTTAAAATTTTTTATAGGGTATGTGTGCTTATGAGAGAATGTGAGAAAGCAAGCCTCTAGATCTGGGACTTAAACCATGGCCGGCCATGTGGGAGGCCAGCATCTTAGCCACCATGTCACCTTCTGACCCCTTATGACGTCTTCTGACCACCATCATGTTCACTGTCATTATGCTGTAGGTGAAATTTATAAGTATTGGACAAGCAAAATGTTTCTTGATAAGATTAATCAGCAAATATAGTTAAAACTAATCTGCCTCAAACCACCTTTGCAGTCCAAGTGATTTCTTTAGTTCAGTTCCTCATAGCATTGCTTGTAGTCTTTGAATGCTTTCATCCAACTATTTTCGGATCAGTCCTCTTACAGACTCTGAGCTATATTTGTTACATTCGGCCACATGCATGGTCAGATATAATTAATGTACCCTATAGCAAAAATCTTTTTTTTTTTTTTTTAAAAGGGAATAAATAAGTAAAACTTAAAAAGGTTTTGGGGCCAATAGGCAGCATGGTGGTTAAAGAGCTGGATTTCCACATGGTCAACCATGATACTAGTCCCGGAATGGCAACCTGAAACTCATGCTGAGCACATGTGCATGTGTGCCCCAAATCCCAAGAAGAGAATGGAGAAGAGACTGTACCATGACAGTCCCCTGGAAGGTGATTTCTTCTTCTCTGTCTGGCTCTCTCTCTGGCAAGCATGTATACCACATGGCAAAACCTAAAATTAAAAAAAGTTTAAAAAAAAAGTTTTTAAAGAATAAAATATGTAAACATGGTTTTATTGCCTTGGTAATTTTATACTTCACTACTTAAGTCTCAGTTTTTAAATCTAAAGTCTAATAATTAGAGTAAAAAGAGCCCTGAAATATGAATAAGATTATCAAATCTAGACTGTCTACTAATGTGACTCTGTTATCTATGTCTGACAGGTCCTCAGTTACATGGTTCTACAAAATCTCAAGCCAGAAGTGGACCAGTCTCTAGAACCAAGCAGGGACCATGAGGAAAATGAGAACTTAATGGGTTGCAGGGAACACATGAGATATGATGTCAGTGTTCAGTCACTAAGTAACAGAGCTTGTCTACAAGTTCAACTTGAAATCATCTTCATGAAGCATTATTTTGGTACAACTGACTGAAAAAAACACAAGATTATTCGCCAAAGATTACATGGGTACTATTTCTGATTCCGGTTACTGTCTTCTCTCAGCACAAGTGAACCTATTTTACTAGATAGTAAAGTCTGTACCCAAAGTCATAAGAATGATTACACTGTTGTCTGTTAACAATAATCAGTTTAATTTTTATAGGAGTCTATGAGATTTAACACACTTAAAAAGCAGCAAATGAGTGCTTGCTATTAGTATAATTGACTTAAGCTTGTATTAGTTTCTGGAGGGTCCTACTCAGTTTTAACTTGAAGTCACTTTTAGAAAGTAGTGCTATAAAAAATTTGAGCTACTCATCAAATAAATTTCATTCCTAAAGCTTCTCATCTTCAGACTGAAATGGAAGAGTTGAGTACGTGTTAAGCATTGATGTAACTTATATAATAAATCATTTTGCACATTTTTTTAAGATAGGACAGCTCAACCTTACAATGCCTACTTGATAGTAGGTTTTGCTATTTTCTTCTTTAAAAGTATCTCACTAGTCTTATTTTCCAGACATAAACTTGCCTTGCCAGATTATTTCCTGCAGTTCTAAGAGTCCATTAAAACAATTTGTAGAATCTATTAGTGAGCCACCAAGGTGCAATTCCTTAAGAAACCTGGCTATTAGTCCAGTATAAACATCCTCTGAGCAGAAGTGAGCGCTTTGGCATTGTGATATCACTGTGGACCTTTTCCTAAGGGCACTCATGAATGCAGCAATGGTTATAACTATGGCTGAAATTTATCTTATTTAAAGTTCATTGAATATTAATCTTGATCATACTAGTTTTCAATCTATTAATTTTCAGAGTGGATAAATTCAAATGATCATAAATTGGGATAACTTTTTAATTATACATTATACCAAGGTGTTCTAATGCTATCATATAAAGACAGATGCTTCAAACAACCTGCATTATAATAATTATATTTCTAATATAATTAAAAAAGAATTTTTAAAACCTGTTTGTAATCATAAACTGGAATTGTGTCATGTTCTTACCTTAAGTAAATTATGAAGATCAGCAGCCAGAGAAAGCTTCTTGTAAACATACAGTATACTAAATATATTAGTCTACCAACTAGAGATTTTAAGTTGTACAGTTCCAAAAACATTCCATATATTCTAATGAATACATACCAACTCTTCTAAATGTAAATGAAAATCTCTGTACTGTTTTCACAAATCAATACCATGAGTGTACAATTAAACCACTGAATAGGGGGACCAGCAGTTAGCATAATGGATATGTCGCTGAACTGCCATGTAGTCGACCGTGGTTCGAGTCCTGGACCAGGTGGCTTAAACTCATGCTGGGCATGTGTGTGTGCCTATCCAAGATCCCAGGAGGAGAATGGAGAAGGGATTGCAGCATGGCTGTCCCCTCTGGAGGAGTGATTTCTTGCTTTCTCTCTCTCCGTTTCTCTCTGTCTGGTGAGTGCACGTGCCCTATAGCAAAAACTTCTCTAAAAAAAAACCGGGCCCTAAACAAAAACCTTCTTAAAAAAAAAAAAAAAAAAAAAAAAGAAAGAAAAGAAACCACTGAATAAGAAGCAGCAAGTGGTGTGGTGGTTAAGGCACTGGACTCCCACATGACTGACTATACTATAGTTCAAATCATGGACTTGGTGGCTTGCTTTCTCACCTTCCCTCCCGGTGTCTGGTGAGCGCACGTGCCCTATAGCAAATTTTAAAAAATAATATGGGACCAGCAGATGATGTAATGGTTACATTGCTGGACTCCCAAATACTTGACTGCAGTTGGAGTCCCAGACCTGGCAGCTTAAAACTCATACCAGGCGTGTGCATGCATGCCCAAAATCCCAAGAGGAGACTGGAGAATGGATTGCAAAGTGACCATCCCCCCAAAGGGGTGATTTCTTAGTGTGTTCACCAAGTGCATGTGCCCTATTGCAAAAATCTCCCTTGGGACCAGCAGTTAGCGTAATGGCTATGTTGCTGGACTCCCACGTAGTCGACCGTGGTTCAAGTCCCGGACCCAGTGGCTTAAACTCACGCCGGGCGCGTGTGCGTGCATGCCCAAGATCCTGAGAGGAGAATGGAGGAGAAGGGATTGTGGCGTGGCCATCCCCCCGGGGAGTGATTTCTTGCTTTCTGTCTGTCTCTCTGTCTGGCAAGTGCATGCGCCCTATAGCAAAAACCTCTCCAAAAAAAAGAAAAAAAAAATCTCCCTTAAAAAACAAAATCTAGATAATATGGCTGCCTTTCAAAGTTGTTAGCCCAATTCCATACATGCATATACCACTTCAGGGATTGTGGCGTGGCCATCCCCCCGGGGAGTGATTTCTTGCTTTCTGTCTGTCTCTCTGTCTGGCAAGTGCATGCGCCCTATAGCAAAAACCTCTCCAAAAAAAAGAAAAAAAAAATCTCCCTTAAAAAACAAAATCTAGATAATATGGCTGCCTTTCAAAGTTGTTAGCCCAATTCCATACATGCATATACCACTTCAGTGTTGTTTTTGTTTTGTTTTGTTTTGTTTTGGAGAGGTTTTCGCTATAGGGCACGTGCGCTCGCCAGACAGAGACAGAGAGACAGAAAGCGAGAAATCACCCCCTGCAATCCCTTCTCCTCCATTCTCCTCTTGGGATCTTGGGTACGCACGCACACGTGCCCGGCGTGAGTTTTAAGCCACCTGGTCCGGGACACGAACCACGGTCGACTATGTGGGAGTCCAGCGACATAGCCATTATGCTAACTGCTGGTTCCCAGTGTTGTTTTTTTTTAACAAAACAACTAGAAATATTCAATATAAACAATTTGATGAATTTAGATCCCACTATTATAGATGAGCAAACAGGTGCAGATAAGCTCAATGGTCTAAGGACATTTAGCACAAGTAAGATTACAACATATATCGCTTTATACTACATAAACCAGTCTGTCTTATTTTAATGCTGACTAGAACCATTTTGCCCCTCTTCTTTAGCCTAAACACCATTCATATTCTTCCTAGATCTCATTTTAAATGATCATTGAGATCATTTTAAAAATACCACAGAAGATAACATTTTTTACTTGTTTATTTAATGATATATAAATCTTACAAAAATGTTTTAAGTAATCTGAACACCTGTTCCTCCTGAACTTCAAGAATAGTACAAAATCCAGCCGAGTAAAACAAAGAGAGAGGTCTATTCAAAACCATCAAGATCAAAAGCAAATAGACAAGTATTTGTAAGATAGCTGTTTAGCAAGTGTTCTGAAAGTGTTCTACTGGAACACCTGTTCTAAGAGACATGCTCATTACTGAACAGCATGGACAGATCCACATTTTGGACAGAGTTTGGCATTCAGAAAATCCATCAAAGCCAAGTGTTGTGACCACTTGCCCTCTGCCCTCCCAACTATCACTACCAAGCTCCTTTACTTGAGAACATTACACAACATCAGGAGATTTCTAGAAACCACTAATATGTTGAGAGATGCTGCTTGGTTTAGTTGGTCTGAATTAATTTAGCTTGTAAAGACAACTTCTCTTAAGGGTGCAATTGACTTTTGCCTTAAAATCTTGACTGTACCTTGCCTACAGTGGCACCGATTAACACCTAAGGACCCTTGAAGAAAAAAATTAATTATTTCTTTTCTTTCTTGAGAGTCGTTTTTTTCCCTCCACCTTTGGAAGGTTTGCAGTACTTTGCTTCCATCTGAGCCAGAAAATTGTCCATTTCCTTTTGCCGATCCTTTTGTCTGCTCTGTTTGAGAAGTAAAAACACAAGCTTTCAAAATGCAACACTATCCATAGAATCAGAAAGTATCTAGTGTTTGCCAAGGGCTGAGCAAAGGGGAAAATGGAAATAACTGCTAAAGGGTATAGGGTTTCTTTCCAGAGTGGTGAAAATATTCCAGAATTAGAATTAGAATAGTAGTGGTGGTTGTAAAACTCTGTGAACATACTAAAAACCACTGAATTATAAACTTTAAAACCACTGAATTATTGGAGCCAGCAGGTAGCATGGTGGTTAAGGTGCAAGACTCCCACATGGCCAACCACCGTTTGAGTCCTGGACCTAGAGGCTTGCTTTCTCACTTTCTCTGGTGAGCACATGTGTTCTATAAAAGTAAAAATGAGAAGATAATAATAAATAATTAAAGTATTCTTTAAAAAAAGAAATTGAGGGACCAGTAGATGGCATAATGATTACATAACTGACTCCCATGTCGTAGAACATGGTTTGAGTCCCAGACCCAGTGGCTTAAAACTCACGCCGGGCGCATGTGCATGTGTGCCAGAAATCCTGAGGAGAATGGAGAAGAGACTATAGCATGGCCATCCCCACTGGGGGGTGATTTTTCACTTTCTCTGTGTCTCTGGTGAGCCCACATGCCCTATAACAAAAATCTCTTTCAAAAAAAAAAGCATTGAATTGTACACTTTTAAGAGACAAACGGATGGTATGTAAATTATGTCTTGAAAGAAAACAGAACACTTATAACATCACACACATGCTACCAAGAAAACACTAGCAATGGGAATCGAAACTTCAAAGAACTGGCTACAATATGCCAGGTTTACCTGAATGGCTGCCTTCAAGTTATCCATTCCTTCATCAAGCCCCAATTCCTTCCTGCTTATTTCTGCTTCTTTAGCCTCTTCCTGAGCCTGAAATTAAAACTCACATCAAACTCCATGGCAACTAAGAAATACTTAAAATACAACATCATTACCTAAAGCAAATCTATGGTTTTGATTGGAGGATGAATAAAACTACAAAAATATGTTATTCATTAAAAGGCAACATTGGGGTGAGCAGGTGATGTCATGGTCACGGCACTCACGCCAGGCATGTTTTCATGCATGCCCAAGGTTCCGAGAGGAGAATGGAGGAGAAGGGACGACTGCATGGCCATCCCCCCAAGGGGGAGATATCTCGCTGTCTCTGTCTTTCTAGCGAGTGCACGTGCCCTTATAGGAAAAACCTCTCTCCACCTCTCCCCCAAGAAAGTACTCATAAACAACATGGCTAGAAGGAAAACAAAATGCTAGGAGAGCTAGGAAACATCACTTAACTATGGATATCCTCAAAAGTGATGTCAGGCCACAGATAATTCAGATTCCTCCTCTGGAAACCCAGTTTTCTACGTTAGATTAGTGACAGCCCTGTGTACAATCCTAGTTTAAAATGATTTCTCCTGAGTAGCCAGAAGAAATAACATTGACAAACTCAGCTATAACCTTCTTCATCTGATTTCTGATTTCAAAGCCTCCTTCATGTCAAATTTTTCTATGACACTGTTTCCAAAATACCACAAGAATACCTTAAAGCAACAACTATGACTATGAGACCCCAATAAACACTGGTGATTTTACTACATAGCAATGAATGCTATTGGTAGTGATGATGTATTATTTAGGACCCATTATCCTAATAGTTTCCTTGTATCCAAATTATCTCTCTAAATTCAATATTCCCCAACCTCAAGTTTTCTGGACAGTCTCTCAAAAACTGCCATTTCCCCTGCAAACTCTAGGAAAGTTTCTCAGCTAACAGCATAGAGATGAATGCAGCTGTGCTCAGTTTCACCTGAGAAAATAATTAACTTAAAACTGCCAACTTGAGTCTAAGCAGATGTAGCCTTTGAATTAAAAAATAAGCCTGAAATCACTCACTTCTCCCCTTCAGTCAACAGAAATGGCATGGTCTTTTATCTAAGCTAAACAGGTTCTTAAAATTTTCACTGAAAATAAAAAAGTCAGCCTTCTCTCTGAGAGTATCTCTGCAGACCTCTCCCTGTCCTTCAAGTTCAACCACACAAAATTAAGGCACCTCCAGTACCCACGGAAGATCTAAAATCTCTCCATGGAGCCCCTAGTGTGAAAGCCAGGTTGAGGTAATAGTTACTTTGGCACCAGTCAAAGGCAGTTTTCCCTAAGGCAGTTTTTTACCTCTAATCTGCTCTCTTTCTGAACCCCACTTGTGCTTCACCACCTTTCTCACCCTCTTACCCCCAACTCTCTGAGTTTAATATGAGTGGAAAAGGACACAAAGGCCATAATCTCTGATTCTCAACAACCAAGAATGATCAGAAAGACACCTTTATCCAAATGAGCTAAAGTGTTTCTTTTAAGAATATAATACAGTCTGGGTTGGCCTCAAAGTGTAATGGTTAAGGGAACAAGACTCCACAAGACTGACCACGGTTCAGATCCCAACCAATAGCTTGAAAACATGCCAAGTGCATCCCAAATCCTGACAGGATTGTACCATGACTACACCCTATGAAGAGGGGTTCTCTCTCTGGTGAGAATATGCACACTCTGACCAAAAAATAAATAAATTAAATAAAATTTAAAAAATATATATATAAAATATATACACACACACACATTTTATACACATACCCACACCTGTGTGCACACACATACTCTAGATCCAATCCAAGAATCAATCTCTGGGCAAAGGCCCAAGTATCTGTATTTTTAACAAGACAGTCTCTACCATCCTCTTCCTGCCCTTTACCCAAATAAAGACCATGGTCTACCCTATGTACTTAGACTCCATTACTTTATCTCCTCAGTGGAATGCCTCTACAAAGTTACAAGAATTGGACCATATGAAAAATAACCCAATATTACTTTAATATATTTAAACAACTCATGTAGTAAAAGTCATCTTGATCACAACATACTAGAAAAACCTTTCCCTTGGTAAGCCAGTACTGCCTGTTTAAGATAAAAGCTATAGATCAAGTAAAACCCTAGTCCTTATTTCAGTGGTTTTGTGTACATTTTCATTGTTGTAAATACTATTAAATCCCAGGATACAATCAATTGCAATGAAACTCTTACCCTCCTTTTCCTTGCATTCATCTTTTGTTTTGATTCTTTCACAAAAGCATTATAGGATGGAACCTCCCTGGCATCAATAGCTTGCTGGATGATGTTTCGTATTCTGGGTTCTTCTGTGTACTGCACACAAAGCACAGACTCCATGATCTGATCCATGTCACCTTTGAAGTCCAGATAAGCCTGTTTAATGTCAGCCAGCTCTTCTTCAGAACCTTTGTATGTCTTTTCAAAAGCTTGAATGTCCTCTAGAGATATCTGAAAATGAGAGATGTGCTTTAACTTTGAGAACATTATTTTAAATAAAAGGTACACCAGGAAAACTAGAGATTCAGGTGCTGAAAATTGCTTCTCCCAAAATACAAAACTCCTTGAGCTGAAACTGTTGCAAAGAACCAAATTTTCTATACCCAAGTTTTTCCAGAGCTCTCCCTAGTCCAACCTTCACAGCTGCTAAAGTAGGGACTAGATATGGGAAATTTAATTGAAGTTTCCAAGAGTGGTTAAGAGATCCAGATAAATACTCCAGACTTACATATGTATATATAAAATAAATCACATTCTGTTAAAAAAAAAAAAGTCCTCCCTTTTCACAGTAACACACTATAGTAACAGAAAATTAAGAACCTATTTTAAATGACATAGTGTGTGTATGTGTATTTTTTATTTCAAGATCAAACTCTATTTTCTCATTCTTAAAAATCAACCCAAATTGGAAGTCCTTAGAGGCAATAGTCAATGACTGAAAGATGGGAACAATCACAAACCTGTCCAGGCCCCTACTTACTTTGTGTGTGTGTGCTTCTAGGTTTTTGCTATACTGAGTGTGCATTCCTCATAGATAAACAGAAAAGTGAGAAAGAAAGTAAGAAATCATCCCCCAAAGGGGGATGGCAACGCCACAGTTGTTTCTCCATTTTGCTCCTGGGATTTTGGGCATGTATGCACACATGCTTGACCTGCATTTCTTTCAGGCAAACAGGTCCGGGACTCGAACCACAGGCAACCATGTGAGAGCCCAGCACCTTAACCATAATTCCACCTGCTTCCCTCTCCCCACACTCACCTTCTTAAAGAGTAACCTCCAATAGGCCTCCCAGTCTCGGTCTTGACTGAGCGCAGCAGAGTCCTCGTCCACTGTTCCCTGCTCATCGTACACTGCTCTCTGCTCTTTGTCACTTAGAACGGAATAGACTTTCCCCAGGATCTGCGGGAAGTGAGCATCCAAAAGTCACCCCTGCACCTCCTACTGAAGCTGCACCGCGAAAAAAGACCAGTGAACCCAAGGCCAGGAACCGTCTTCCCCCCTGGGGCGGGGCCAGAAGACAGGCCCAGACCCTGGCGGTAGCCCATGTACCTGAAAGCGGCGAGTGGCATCCTCCTTGTCGCCTTCGCCCGCCCGGTCCGGGTGCACCAGCAGAGACACCTTGTGGTAGCCCCGTCGGACTTCGCCTTCCGAGGCCTCGCGCCGCACTCCCAGCACCCGGTAGAGGTCGGCGGTACCAAATACTTCCTCACACAATTCCAGCAGCCCCATGCTGGAAAAGGAGCTGCCTTCACGAACCCCTTAGGGTCAGCCACAGCAGCCGCAGCTCCAGAACGCCGCCTTTTCCCGCCCAAACGTCCAAGGGCGCCTGCGTCACAGGGGAGCGGAAGAGGCGGGGCCGCGCAGCGCACTTTACGTCAGTTGTAATACGGGGCGTGGCCAGCCTGAGGCTGCCCCGGGTGAACACCATTTAAGAGTGGAGATTGGAGGCGGCGTCCCGGTGTGCTCGCGCGGAGCCGGTCCAACGGTGCAGCTGGGATCCACTCTAATACGCGGTCGTCGCCCCTAACTCTGAAGTCTGGCCTCTGTCCTACCCGTGTCTAGGCCCAGAAGTTTACATAATATTTAGAATGTCCACAAATGAGGTTGAGTTTACAAGTTACTGGCTTTTCTTAAAAGCAGAAAGCAGCCAAATATCAGCATTTAGCACTTTCACATGGTTCAACCTGGCAGTTAAAACAGATGTTTCTTCCAAGATGATCCTGAAAGGAGTAAGTAATACTGTAGACCAAATATAATTTTTTCACCTGCAGGATGGGACTGCTGGGATATTTTCCCTTAAGCCCAGCAGGAAAAAGCCTACGTTGAACAACTACAAAACACTGGTCTTCTAAAAACTCTCTATCTGACAGGTTTATGGATCTGACATTACAGAATCAACCCCACTAACTTTCAAGAGCCCAAGTCACCTTACACACTGGTAGAGATAACATGACTCCAACGCTCAACTTAATAAAAACATTAAGTTTCTGCAGCAAATACTTCTTTTCTTCTAAACCTTTATAAAGGTCATAACTGGGTTTCAGCAGGTTGATTTGAGGTGGTGATAGGGTAGATTGCAGCAATCATCCAAAACATGGTGAGAAGTATTGGCCTGGATTTTCAAAATAAGACAAAGGCTGGAGAACCCCCAGGGAGAGGATAGCTGACAGAAAATATGTGCATATAGGTCTTAGCTAAAAGATGCAACATAATGCAAAATGAATACCTGAGATGGTGGAAGCTTAGTGGCTCAAAATAATACTTACCTTAACCTATATCACATCAGTTACCCTCAATGATCAGCACTGCCCAGAATCACATTTTCATATGCCCATGTTTCTACAAAACCTCAAACTCTTCAAGGTACAATATGTCTTCTAAACTTCCTACAGTTGTTATGGCTTTCAAAGCATTTTTCTTTCCCAGATCTATTGAGAAGATCAAAGATCAAACTCAGCTATAGTCAGTCCTCTAGGCCTGTCCTGGCCTGAAATTCTCCTCAAAGCAAGGGGAGGCCAACCAGCAACAGTCCTGAAGAGGCTCAATGGCCACAGAAGTTGAGAAGGCTAGTAACTGTTCTCAAAATATAAAACCCAGACAATAAATTGGCACATTGACATAGCTTTATAGTCTCCTCTATGAATTTCCTGTTTCTTAGTCTTACGCTAGAATTTGAAATTGGTATTATCCTGAATGTGCACTAAAACAGTGTAATTAATGCTATGGTTGTAGAATACTAAGGTTTTTGAGAGCTCGCTCTACAGTGTAGCAGTAACGCACTGTTCAAAGAGAAACTGATCCCACATCGTACTGCTGTTTGAATCCCCAGCCCAGTCAGCCTGAAACACACTGGGTATAGGCCCAAATGCCCAAGATCTAATGACTAGAGGATTAATGGAAAGGGATTACAAACTCATGATACCTAAACATGATTTTATTGCTAACTTCCTAAGTGGACTTTTCAAAAAAGGGCCTCTTTGTTCATTTTTCCCCTATAAACAACATGGAATTTCCAAGCAGGCACTGTGCAAGTTTCCACCTCTGAGCCTCAGCTTGCCCATCCATAAAACGGAGATAACCCTATCTACCTTTGTGATTATCTTCTAATCCTCATAGAAAACTGTGTATGTAAAAGGCTTAAAATATATGTAGGTGCCTTACAATATTCTTTCTTCTAGTTTTTTTTTTCTTAAAAAGATGGGCTATTACTGGGACAGCAGGTGGCATGGTTAAGGCGCTGGACACTCCCACATGGTTGACCACGGTTTGAGTCCCGGACCTGGTGGCTTGCTTTCTCATCCCCCGCCCCCCCCGCCCTGTGTGTGTGTGTCTGGTCAAATTAAAAAATAAACGAATGAATAAATGAAATTAATTATTAAATCACCCCACAGAGGGGATGGCCACACCGCAATCCCTTCTCCTCCATTCTCTCAAGATCATTGGCACGCCCAGCTTGAGTTTAAGCCACCAGGTCTGGGACTTGAACCGCGGTTGACTACATGGGAGTCCAGCGATATAGCCATTACGTTAACTGTTGGTCCCTCCAAAGCAATTTTAATAACCAATCTATCTTTGTCAATTTGAGAATATGTGTCAAGCAAAACATAAATCTCCAATTATAAAAGAATTATTTTATTTAACTTTATTTATTTATTTTAATTTGATCAGAAAAGGACAGAGTGAGAGAAAGAGAAGGAAAGTGAGAAAGCAAGCCACCAGTTCCAGGACCCAAACCATGGTCACCCATGTGGGAGTCCAGCGCCCTTAACCACCATGCCACCTTGCTGCCCCAGTTAACTATATTTTTGAGCTAATGGGATGACCACAAATAATTAAGGAAGGCCAGCAGATAGCATGGTGGTTACAGCAATGGACTCCCACATAGCTCATCATGATTTGGGTCCCAGACCTGGTGGCTTGCTTTCTTGCTTTCTCTCTCTCTCTCTCTCTGGTGAGCATATGTGCAAGTTAAAAAGTAATTTAACTGTAGCAAGTTAAAAAGTAATAATGATTAAAAAAATTAAATTAATTATTGGGGGGGGAAGGAAAGATTTGAATGAGGTAAGAACATTCTGGTTGGAGATTCTGAAGCAGGCAAGCCTTGAGGGTAAGAGATAGAAAAGTTGTCAAAAAACCTACAGCTCCACGCAAATGTCCAATCTTCCCAACAGATTGTACTTCCCAAGATGAAAGTCAAAAATGTAAATTAGTATATTCACTATATTCAGCTCTATGTCAGATAAGAATAAGTCTGTCCCTACACTCTGCTCAGTCCAGGCCAAAAGAGCATGGTTGACTCAGAAAACTCATTTATTGACCTCCAAATCTAAGAAAATTAACAGATCCACCAATGTTTTAAGAGGACTTTGACCTGTTCCCACTGCTATGCTCACTGAAGTCAGCTTGCTTCTTTTTCTGAAGCCTCTGTTTCTGTTTTCTGAGATGCTAAGAGGACTTCACGTGCCCGTTTCCTTCGCAGTCTCTCAGCATTTGTGATCGTCATAGGATGCAGAGGGAAGAAGCCTGAAAGACCTAAAAGCAACAGGATTTTCATTTATTAACACAGTACAAGCTATTTATTACAACACTGTCCACACAATGCCTCACAGAACTAAGATCTAAGATCCAACTGAGAGGTCCTCATTTGCAAAACTCTGTCCTACAGCTTCCCCTACGTCCTCCCCATTATTTACTGCAAGCAGTCAGTGAATGATGTCTACTTCCTAACACTATGCTCCTTACTTTAAAAAAAGTAAAACGATAAATTGCAATTCAAGACACAAATTCCCATTTTTAGCGTAAAATCTCAATCACCCAAAAAGTTTCATGAAGGAGTCCACACTAGGAGTCTCCAGATTCAAAATGTCAATTAGATAGTCACTTCAGTTCCTACTCCAGATATGGGCAGTCTAGACCTTTGCTTAAAATCCCTTCAATGAGGGACCAGCAGTTGGAGTAGTGGCTATGTCACTGGACTCCCATTAAGTTGAACGTGGTTCGAGTCCCAGACCCGGTGGCTTAAACTCACCCCTGGTGTGTGTGTGTGTGTGTGTGTGTGTGTGCCCAAGAACCCGAGAAAATGGAGAAGGGATTGCGGCATGGCCATCACCCCTGGGGGGTGATTTCTCCCTTTCTATCTCTCTGTCTCTCTCTGTCTTTCTGGGGAGCGCCGCGCCCTATTGCAAAAGCCTCTCAAAAAATAAATTAAAAGATCCCTTCAATGAGGTAAGACCAGAGCTGAATTACCCAGAAGCTTTTCCATAGGCTTAGAGAGGTGAGCCCCACAGCCAATCCAGTGCCGGATCCTGTCCAGGTTGAGGGCAACAAGTTTTTCTCCATGACTGTTGGGCAGCGGATCATAGGAGCCCAACTGCTCCACGAAACGTCCATCCCTGGGGCACTTGTTGTGAGCAGCTACAATGCGGTAGAAGGGACGGTTGGTGCACCCACCCAGGGCAAGGCGGATGGTTAAGTGGCCCCCACGGTAGGCCTTGCAGAGGAGGGTAGCTGTAGAGAAATAGCTGGTTAGGGCACAAGAACTCTGGACACAAAATGGGCAAAAGGAGGCGAAATGAAAAATCCCCTTTTTCCATTTCAGTGTCCTCGCTGCCAATCTACGCTGGTCAATGTGGCTTAGATACCATCTTCCCTGTGAAACTCATCTCATCCACTCCAGTCACGTTAGAAATGACCTCCTCACTCCCAAATCCGCACCGCAGAAGTCTATTTTTACTAGCTCCACGACCCTATATGAACTTTGTTTCTTTTTTCCGTAAAATGCGATGAGAGTTTTCTGCGGGGATGAAGTGGGACAGCACTGAGCGGAGGTCTCCGGCGCGGGCGGCCTCCAGCGCGCCTAGCAGAGCACGCCGCTCCGCCGGGCCCGAACGCCCTAGCCCCGCGCCCGCCCGAAGGGCTCGAGGGGCCCGACGACTCACTGAGACGGACCATGCCGCGGCCGGCGCGGGGCTCCTCCGAGCGCACTGCAGTCGGACCAGCGCAGACAGCCGGCTCCGCCACACTCCCCGCGCGCCCCCACCCGGCTGCCCAAGCCCGAGCGCCCGGCTCCGGAAGCAGATGGTCCGCCGGCCTCGCCTCTTCCACCGGCCGACCCTAAACGTCCCGAAGTGCAACACGGTGACCCGGATGTATCTTCAACCGCGGCTGAGAAGGCGCTTTGCGATTGGCGTCCTGTGGGGGTGTGAGTCCTCGCCGACCCGAGACCCTGCTGGAGTGGGTGGCTTTGGAGACTCGGCGTGCTGAGAGAAGTGCTGCGTGCCCTACAAGTCCCGCATCCTGCAGACGTTTCTTGAGCACCCATTAGGACGGAGGCTCAGGGCTGAGAACGCACATTTGAAAGGGTGCTGCACTGTCGCCAGGGAGCTCACTCTGGTGGGAAGACGGTGACATTACGCCATGAGAATGAGGGGTGGTCCACACACAATGCCGTGGGGGAGCAGAGAGTCGAACCTCATTCCCTAGACGTCCAAAAGGAGGTAGCGTTGAGGGAGGGACTAGGAGAAGGATTATGAATGTTTATTCATTTGCCTTTCACCTAATCATCCACCTCCATAGAAGCAATCACACCCTAAAAATAATAAAGGCGATGGGATCAGCGATGTCTTAGCAGTTACGTTGCAGGACTCCCACGTAGTCTACTCGATTCAAGTGCTGGACCCAACAGCTTGAAACTCGCCGTGTGCGTGGGTCTCCAAAATCCCCAAAAGAAAATGGAGAAGGAATTGTGGTGTGGCCATAGCCCTTAGGGGTGGGCGGTGTGGGGTGATGTCTCGCTTTCTGTCCCTGATAAGCCCATGCACCCTACAGCAAAAGTCTCTCTTAAAAAATAATAAAACAAAGGCAGGAGTCACCATGCAGGGACTAGGAGGGCTTCTGGGGTGACTTGACCTCTAATCTCTAGTCCCAGAATACAGCCTTTGTGGTGAGGGGTTGTGCCCTCTTTTATAGGGTCATGGTGTTTTTGTGGAGCTCTTGAGTTTTAGATCCGTAAAGATAGCAGTGGTTGGTTCGAGGTCCTCAGTATATCAGCTTAAGCAAAGACCTCTCTCTGCTTCTATACATTGTTGGTTCCAAGGGGGCGTGTCTCTTTGTGCCAACACGATGACATAGCATGGCGGTCTTCCTCTTGGCCTACGTTTAGAAATTATGGCTTAATTCCCAAGTTCCAGTAAATGAACTTCGACAGGGACTTTAGCAGCTGACCTCCTCCAGGAGTGATGTGATTTCATCAGAAACCCTAAGAATAATCCCACTGTACCTTAATTTTATTTACTTATATAAATAACTTTACTATAGTTATTACCCACCTACATATCCATTTTTCTCTAGATAGACCTATGTATAACTCAGTAAATTTTAACTGCAGAACCACATTGATGAATTTATTACACTTATTTCTGTTTTTTAAATTGTGATCCAGTTTATTAAAAACCAGTAAAACATCCAGCTAGTAAAAGTAAACTAAAGGATTTGTATTTATGGAGAAGGTTCTTTTGTTCTCCAGTTTTAGGGCTCCTATGGTAAAACTTCCTCTGAGAAGGGAAGAAGCAAAGAGTCCCATACAGGAAATTCTTCGGATGGAAGCATGTCAGAAAGATGGATTTCCAAAGCCAACTGTCTCCTGTACTGTGTGGATCTCTGCTAGTAGAGCTTCATCTTTCAATTTCAGCTACACGAGAGAAGGAAGGGAAGGACACATGTCACTCCTCATATCCCAGTATGGCAAAGACCCCTCATTTGTCACAGCTAAAGAACATAGTTCCTTGGATGAAATTAGACGCGCCATCAAAAAACCTTAGAATACTGCACTGGTTACATGGATGTTTATTTTTTGAAAATTCATCAAGGGTTATGAACACCCATGAGTTGTACATTTTAGGAGTAAAATTAGTTCATTTAGTTTATCTTTAAAAGTGTTCACGTTATCACCAACACCTCTTGACTAATGTGTAGCATTCCCATTTGGTAAGTGACAACAAAATTTCAAGAGACACAGAAATTAGACTGATTTGAATTTAATTTTGGAATCTAAATGCATAGAAGAGACATCTAGTGGCCTACTCAGTACCTACTTTCCCTTAATAAAATTATAATTTCTTTTAAGAGTAGCAATGCAATTGGCTAAAAAGGCACATTTTCCTGTCTGCCTTGCAGCCAGAGGTAGTCATGACCAATTATGGCTAATGAAATGTAAGCTAAAGTCATTGGGTGAGATACCTGGGAAAGCCCTTGAAAGGGAAGTGAAACAGCTATAGCATGGTACCTTTTTTTCCTTTTCCCCTTTTGTTCTTTATCTTGCTGGAAACATAGATATGGTTGCTAGAGGAGCTACTTTGGCTGTCTTGCAACTATGAGATGGAAGCTGTTTACCATGATTGGTAGAGTAGAAAGATAGAGGTTGAATCCCTGATGCAATAAGAAGCTATGTATCAACCCTGAACTTTTTATTAGATGAAAAAAATTTAATTTGTGGAAGCCACTTGTCTTTTAAGTCAAATTACTTGGAATTCATAGGTGATAATAATAGATTGGAATTGTCATGAGCTAAATCCAGTCCACTGCCTTTTTTTTATTTTAGTGAACTTTCATTATTATTATTTTTAATATTTCCAGGGAGAGAGACACAGGAAGAAAGAGAGAAAGGGAAAGTAAGAAGTAAGCCTCTAGGTCCTGGACTTGAACCACCGTTGGCCATGTGGGAGTCCAGCACCTTAACCACCATGCCACCTGCTGGCCCTGCTTGCTTTTTGTAAATAAACTTATATTGGAACAAGCCACCAATTTATTTATTATCTATGGCTGTTTCTGCACTGAAAAGAGCAGAGTTTAGTAATTGGAACAGAGACTATATAGCCTACAAACGCTAACGTATTTCCTATTTTTCCCTAGGTTAGACCACCACCTTAATAAGAAAAATGGAGCCCTACTGAGGTTAATATTGGGTTGTCAGAGAAGTCATGATGCATTTTTGCGTAGAAAAAAATATGTCATGATTTTTCTGGCCACCTAATGCAATAAGTCAGTAGAAAAACCAGAATCATAATTCAGGCTGACTGACTTCCAGGCTATCTGCCTTTCCCTTAGGACATATTTTCTCTAAAGAGGTGGAAGAATGATCATCTATGGTAAAGTATTTGTACTATTACAAACCCAGCAGTCCCCTGAAAATGGTAAAGATGGTAAGAAAAGCCTCTAGAACAATATTTACATCATGAGATTCTCTATAGTTCTTAATTCAACCAGCACCTTCCTCCCAGTTGCCCAGTTTCAGTACAGGTGTGTTTGCATCTACCTTTATCGTGTATTTGTAGGCCTGCTCAGCTTCCAGTTGCCGTCCAGCCTGAAAAAAGTACAGCAGGGAATCAGCAGTTAGCGTAATGGCTATGTCGCTGGACTCCCACGTAGTCGACCGCGGTTCGTGTCCCGGACCTGGTGGCTTAAAACTCACGCCGGGTGCGTGTGCGTGCATGCCCAAGATCCCGAGAGGAGAATGGAGGGGAAGGGATTGCAGCGTGACCATCCCCCCTGGGGGGTGATTTCTCGCTTTCTGTCTCTCTGTCTCTCTCTGTCTGTCTGGCGAGCGCACGCGCCCTACAGTGAAAATCTCTCCAAAAAAAAAAAAAAAGTACAGCAGCTGGTGATAACATGTCCTAAACATTATAGTGAGGAAAGAACAGTCTACCTAAGGCAAAGGATTCCATAACTTCTCAGTTAAGAACCTTTGAATTCAAAAGAAAAGCAGGCAAGTAAAAGGTAGTTTTTTTTAAAGTAGATATTAAAAATACAAACAAATGCTCACACACATACACAAAAAAACCCACACAACAAAAAACAAACTTCCATTTCAAAGAGCTTAAACACAGGACCAGCAGTTAGTGCAATGGCTATGTCGCTGGATTCCCATGTGGTTGACCGTGGTTCAAGTCCTGGACCTGGTGGCTTAGACTCATGCCGGGCACGTGTGCGTGCGTGCCCAAGATCCCCAGAGGAGAATGGAGGAGAAGGGATTGCAACATGGTCATCCCCCCTGGGGGGTGATTTCTCGCTTTCTGGCTCTCTGGCTCTCTTTCTGGCAAGCACACATGCCCTATAGCAAAAAAACTTTTCAAAATAATAATAATAAATTAATTAAAAAGATAAAAGCCTAAAGACAATTTGGCCTCTCTCTTTTTTCTTCCTAAAAGTACCATGAGTCATTTGTTCATCTTAGGATTGAAGCCCTTCTGTTAAAAATAATTAACACATCGTGCTTACAATGTGATATTGTTCTCATTGTCAACATTTTTTTTTAGATTTTTGATATAGGGTGCATTTGCTCACTGGAGAGAGAGAGAGACAGACAAAAAGAGAGAAATCACACAAACACACACACACACACACACCCCCAGGGGGGTTGGCCATGCTGCTACCCCTTCTCCTCCAATCTCCTGTTGGGATTTTGGGCATGCACGCACACACAATTCATGTGAGTTTCACGTTGCCAGGTCCAGGGACGAATCGCAGTCAACTATGTGGGAGTCCAGCCACATAACCATTACATTATCTGCTTGCTGGCCCAACAACACTGTTTTTAAGTGCTTTATTTATGTTTAAGTCTCAATTTTTTTGAGACAGATTTTTGCTATAGGGCATGTGTCCTGTACAGAGAAACAGAGACAGAACGTGCAAAATCAGCCCCCAGTGGGGATGGCCATGTCACAATCCCTTCTCCATTCCTCCTCTTGGAATTTTAGGCACACATGCACACATGCCTGGCATGAGTTTTAAGCCACTGGCTCTGGGACGTGAACCGTGGCCAACTATGTGGGAGTCAAGCAAGAAACCATTACACCATCTGCTGGTCCCCCAATTCTCAATTCTTAAGACCTATGAGAAAATTATTATTTTTCATTTCTAGTTTACAGAGACACAAATCTAGCCACAGAGGATAAATATCTAGCCAGGCTTATGAAGCTAGTAATTAGAGGAGCACAGTTTTTTGAAAAACGAAGTCTGGCTCCAGAATCCACATTTTTAACTATTATATATTTACCATGTCTCTACAGGTTAGAAAAAATAGGTATTTGGGGCCAGCCTATAGCATGGTAGTTGAAGTCACTATATCCCACATGGCGACTGCATGGTTCAAGTCCTGGCCCTGGTAGCTTGAAAAACATGCTGGACGCATCTGCATGCATGCCCAAAATCCCAAAAGAAGGGAGAAATGGTGAAGGGATTGTGGAGGGTCTGGAAGAGGTGGTTTCTTTCTCATTTTTTCTCTTCTTTCTCTGACAAGCACACGCCCTCTGGCAAAACTTTTTTTTTTTTTAAAGTAGATAGAATTTCATGCAGATCTGATATTAGATGAGAGCACTGACTACTTCTGGTTGATATTCCTCACATGAAGCACTCTAGGAATTAAATGAGATCATACAAATCACTACTATACTTCACAAGTTTGTACCTAGCAAATTAGCATATGCAAAGCCACTTGGGAGAGCTTAAATATTTATAAGAAATATAGAATATTTGGGCTGGAAGAGAACTTAAAGAATATCTAGTCCAGGGACCAGCAGATGGTGTAATGGTTACATCGCTGGGTTTCCACATAGTTGATCAAGGTTTGAGTATTAGACTCGGCAGCACAAAAAATTAAGCTAGAGGACCAGCAGATGGCATAACGGTTACGTTGCTGAACTCCCACATAGTTGACCATGGTTCAAGGCCCAGACCTGTCAGCTTAAAACTCATGCTGGGCATGTGTGTACATGTGTCCAAGATCGCTAAAGGAGACTGTAGGAGAAGGGATTGCAGAGTGGGTGTGATTTCTTGCTCTCTGTCTGTCTTTCTCTGTCTCTCCAGTGAGGACATGTGCCCTTCAGGAAAAGTATCTCTCTTAAAAACAAACCAAAAAAAAAAAACCCTCACGCTGAGTGTGTGTGTGTGTGCTCAAAATCCTGAGAGGAGATTGGAGGAGAAGGGATTGAGGCAAAGCTATCTCCTCAGGGCGGGGGGTTGGGGGGGATTTCTTGCTTTCTATCTCTCTGTCTTTCTGGAAAGTGCATGCACCCTCTATCCCAAAAATCTCTCTAAAAAAAAAAAAAAAAAGACTAACTAGTCCAGAGCCAGCTCTGTGGCATATTGGTAAGGAAACCAGATCCCACATAGTTGACTATGTGGTTCAAATCCTGGCCCCAGTGGCTTGAAAAACATGCCAGGTACACATGCCTGTGTGCCCTCAAATCCTAACAAGATGGAGAAATGGAGAAGGGATTGCAGTGTGACCACGATCCTTCCCCAGCTTCAGTCAGCCCTTGATCATGGCCATGTGTGAGCCCAGCATGTTAAGGGAGATCTGTGTGTGAATCCAGACCCTTCCCATGCGAGTCAGCCTTGTAGAATGTTGCATTACTCCTATGCCACTGTCTTGGCCCCAGTCTCACTAATTTGAAGGTTCACCTATGCAACCATCACCACATTAAGTTTTAGAATATTTTATTAGCCCAAAAAGGTTTTTCATGCCTGTTTGCAATCAGTCCTCATTCCCACCCTTGGATCTATTAATATTTTTTGGTCGGGACCAGCAGGTGGCATGGTGGCTAAGGTGCTGAACACTCCCACATGTCTGACCATGTTTTGAGTCCCAGACCTGGCAGCTTGCTTTCTCACTTTCCCACACACACTCACTCTCTCTCTCTCTGGTCAAATTAAAATAAAATGAATCAGTAAATACAATTAAAATAGATAATTCTTAAAAAAATATTTTTTGGTCTTGATAGGTTTTCTGATTTTAAATAAAACAATATAACACAGAGTCTTGTGGATTTGCTTCTTACACTTGGCATGTTTCTTAGGTTCATCCATATTGTTACATGAATCAGAATTTCATTGTAAGTGTTGAGTAGTATTCCATCGTGTAAATACACCTCATTTTGTTTTTCCATTGGGTGATGGGACATATAAAAGGTTTCCAGTTGTTGGCTACTATTAAATGCTGTGATTACAATTCACATACAAATCTTTGTGTGAAGGTATGTTTTCATTTTTCTTGGTTAGATACAGACAGTGGAATTGCTGGCACAGATGATAAATGCATGCGTTAATCTTTTTAGAATCTGCCAAAATGTTTTCCAAAGTCATTGTATTAATTTATAACCCTACCATTAATGTATGAGGATTTCAGTTTATCCACATCCTTGTTAATACTGGCACTATCTGTCCTGTTTATTTTTTGGCATTGTCTGTCGTTGGCATTTTTTTCTTTCTGACTCAATAAGACATTCTAGACTTAACAAGACAGTCCAGAATCTTATTTTACTTTTCCAGCATCAGTTCTGGAATCAGCCATTCTCCAGGAAGCTGCTGGTTCTTTTTAATCTAAACTGAACACATGCCATGGTTCTTTTTTAAAACAAATTTTTATTTATATTTATTTATTTATTTATATTTTCCCAGAGAGGGACAGAGTGAGAGCAAGAGAGAGGGAAAGTGAGAAAGCGAACTGCCAGGTCCGGGACTCAAACCACAGTCATGTGGGAGTCCAGTGCCCCTAACCACCACACCACCTGCCAGCCCAAGCCGATTTTAAATAAAACAATATAACACAGAGTCTTGTGGATTTGCTTCTTACACTTGGTATGTTTCTTAGGTTCATCCATATTGTTACATGAATCAGAATTTCATTGTAAGTGTTGAGTAGTACTCCATCGTGTAAATACACCTCATTTTGTTTTTCCATTGGGTGATGGGACATATAAAAGGTTTCCAGTTGTTGGCTACTATTAAATGCTGTGATTACAATTCACATACAAATCTTTGTGTGAAGGTATGTTTTCATTTTTCTTGGTTAGATACAGACAGTGGAATTGCTGGCACAGATGATAAATGCATGCGTTAATCTTTTTAGAATCTGCCAAAATGTTTTCCAAAGTCATTGTATTAATTTATAACCCTACCATTAATGTATGAGGATTTCAGTTTATCCACATCCTTGTTAATACTGGCACTATCTGTCCTGTTTATTTTTTGGCATTGTCTGTCATTGGCATTTTTTTCTTTCTGACTCAATAAGACATTCTAGACTTAACAAGACAGTCCAGAATCTTATTTTACTTTTCCAGCATCAGTTCTGGAATCAGCCATTCTCCAGGAAGCTGCTGGTTCTTTTTAATCTAAACTGAACACATGCCATGGTTCTTTTTTAAAACAAATTTTTATTTATATTTATTTATTTATTTATATTTTCCCAGAGAGGGACAGAGTGAGAGCAAGAGAGAGGGAAAGTGAGAAAGCGAACTGCCAGGTCCGGGACTCAAACCACAGTCATGTGGGAGTCCAGTGCCCCTAACCACCACACCCCCTGCCAGCCCAAGCCATGGTTCTTTATAATGGATTTTTTTTTTTGAGAGGTTTTTGCTATAGGGCGCATGCGCTCGCCAGACAGACAGAGAGAGACATAGAGACAGAAAGTGAGAAATCACCCCCCAGAAGGAATGGTCACGCCACAATCCTTTCTCCTCCATTCTCCTCTCGGGATCTTAGACTCACGCCCACAAGCCCGGCGTGAGTTTTAAGCCACCAGGTCGCGAACCACGGTCGACTACGTGGGAGTCCAGCGACATAGCCATTATGCTAACTGCTGGTCCCTATAATGGATTTAAAGCACTGGATGTACTTATGATCCCTCCATTATGTATTTTTTATATAGAGATATATACACGTATATGGACACATTTCTAATATATATACACATATATTTCTCATCTATTTATGAGACAATGAGGTCACATCAGTATCTCCAAATCTAATTCACCACTACTGGTCATTCTATCCTCATTTCTGTATTTGTAACTTTCTTTTCTGACAGTGAAAAACATGGATCTCATTACCCACACTATAGTTATTAATAATTATTTGGTAAGTCGTAAAATACTTAACTTCAGAACTGCTAATTCATCCTCACCATTCAGATCTCATAAACTTCCTTCAACTATCATGTATTAATGGCCTGCCTTTTGCTGTCTCTTGCTTACTTGGTCCTTTGCCTCTGTGCCCCAAGAAAGCATTGTACAGGAATAATAAACACTCACTTTCAAGCAAACCAGAGCCAGGTATGCCCATACTTCAGCATTGTAGTTGTTCAGTGCATTGGCTTCAGAGAGAGCATCTTCAGCCTCTGTGAGCTCCTCCAGCTTGACAAAGAAGGGGGTTGTGTGAGTTATAGGTCAAGTAGTTTTCAAATAATATTGGTACACATGACTTATACCAGTGGCTTTCAACTTCTTACATTTTTATCATCAGAACTCTTCTTTCAAACAGTTTTATGTGGCCATACAATATATGAACCAGTTAAAAGTGGAACTGCTCTGATTAAAAAGTCAGGTAGGGAAATCTGAAGCCTGCCTGCTAGGCTTGCAACGTATACCCCTCTCTTTCTCCTACCTTTTACAGCAGTCCCATCAGTGTGTGTCTAGGAACCATGGAGCTTCAGGTGCCAGGACTAAAAATCAATCTTGTGGGGCTAGCAGGTGGCACAGAGGTTAAGGGTGCTGGACTCCCACATGGCTGACAGCAGTTCGAGTCCTGGACCTGGTGGCTTGCTTTCTCACTCTCTCTCTTTCTCTGACCCTCTCTGATCAAATAAATAAATGAATGAATGAATGAAGTTAAATAAAATAATTCATTTTTAAAAAAGAAAAAATCAATCTTGTATACATCACTCAGTGATTTCTCCATACATAGTGGGCTGTCAGATACATTTGTAGTTTTTTTCCTTTACATTGTCCATCCCCTCCTTGAGGTTAAAGTCTAATTTGCCTCAAAACACTATTGTTTAGAAAGCTTCCTTTTCCCTAGTATCAGTTACTAACAGGCCAATCCTGAGCAATCAATACAGTATTCAGAGATTCTAGGGATCTCTGAGCTCTGGGCATGTGAAGATCATCACTGCTTCCTAAAACTGTGAATGTGCAAAGCCAGCAGGTGGCATAGTGGTTATGTCTCTGAACTCCTAGTGGTTGACTGTAGTTCAAGTCCCAGATCCAGTGGCTTGAAAATCACATGTGCATTCATGTCCCAGATGGTAGGAGGGGAAGGAAGGAGAAGGAATTGCACCCCTGGTGGTGATTTCTCACTTTCTCTCTGGCTTTCCTCTCTGGTGAGCGCATGAGCCCTGTGGCAAAAACTTGTTAAAAAAAAAAAAAAATGCTGTGAGTTTGCTTTGTACGAGCCTCCTGAAAACACTTACATAAATAATAAGATTCTTTCCTCACCAATAAAGTAGCTCTTCATTTTTCTTTCATTTTTGTTTTTAGTTTTAGTTTTTTGCTATAGGCACATGCACTTGCTGGAGAGACAGAGACAGAAAGATAAGGAAAGTGAGAAGTCACCCCTCTGGGGTGATTGCCATTCTTCTTGGCAATCACGATGTCAAAGGGGATTCTCTTAGGGAAGTTTCAACAAAGTTGTAAGGAGTATGTGCCTAATTGCAATGAAATGAGTTAAGTAGGGCAGAGAAATGAATAATTTACAAATAAAAACATATATGACATGATTTCAACCTTATTATTAATAAAAACTCAAAATATCTATCAAATTGGCAAGTGAGATAACAAATAGACTTATATGTCCTGACAAAGTGAAAATGAATACACAATCTTTCCAGATGGCAAGTTGACACTATAAAGATCTTTAAATTTTATTTATGTATTTATTTATTTTTAGAGAGAGATTTTTGTTATAGGATGCATGTTCTCGCCAGAGAGACAGAGAGACAGAAAGCAAGAAATCACCCCCTGGGGGGATGGTCACAGCGCAATCCCTTCTCCTTCATTCTCCTCTTGGGATTTTGGGTACATATGCACATGTGTCGGGCATGAGTTTCAAGCCACTGGGTCTGGGAGTTGAACCACAGTCAACTACGTGGGAGTCCAGTGAAATAACCATTATACCTTCTGCTGGTCCCAACACTACAAAGATTTTTTAAATATTTCTACATTCATTTAGGAATGTAGCCTAAGGAAATAGAGTTAAGTTCAAAGATTTGTCCAAAATGTTCATCTCAGCTATGTTTATAAAAATACAAGTGGGGACCAGCAGTTAGCATAATGGCTATGTCACTGAACTCCCACGTAGTTGACTGTGGTTCACGTCCCGGACCCAGTGGCTTAAAACTCACGCCGGGCAGGTGTGCGTGCATGCCCAAGATCCCGAGAGGAGA